ATTTTTGGTTATGTTCCAATAATAAAATTGCAATGAAAAAAGGGAAGTTTTTTTAGTTGGTCGTTTGATCTATGGATTAGGTCCCAAAGTCCAAAGACAACAACATTCACATTAGACCATCACTCATTCTTTATCAAATAGACTTGGCGGGTACATAAATCATCTCTAGTAAAAGTATAACCTTCAAACAACGTTTCAGATTCATGATCTTATGTCCTCATAGGGTAAAATAAATTGTAAAGAATTAAGTTTTCCTCTCTAGTCCTCGAGTGTTTTTCAGAACAAAACTGCCCTCTATTATTTTGATTTTCAGCTGATTTTTTTTTCTTCCTTTTCTGTTGACCGGGTAGTAAAATTTTCGGGTCCAATGCAAAATAAATAAAAATATCTGTAATAACTAAAAATATAAATGTCAAATAGCTATGCAATAAATCATAATTTTACTTGTAATTTTTTTGTTATGACAATTATAGATTTGCTTCGTAACAAACAATCACCCATATTTATATTGATTAAATTTCTTTATCTGTATAAAATCCATTACTTTTCTGTATTTTGTTGATTATAAGGAAAACAAAATATCAATTTAATTATGATTTATTGTTAGCATTTAAGAATTTCTTTCAAATTTGTGGGCTCCGCAACTGTTGTAGATGCTCCACCTCAATAATTCGTTGTTTGAATTATCTGAAGGAGGGCACCATGCACCCTAAAATTTCTTTGAAATTAACGATACGCATTTATGTGGATTGACATGATAATGGCACAGACTCATCGGCAGCCACTAGGTCCAGGCGAATATTCCTTCTTTTTTTTTAATCGGACTCGCTGACTATTGTCTATTGCTAACAGATGAATGGATAAAACATATTCTATAAGCTCAAATAAATTCTTCTGGAGATTCTTGTAAAGAGTCAAATTATTTACTACTAAAAATTTACATTAGTCATTTCCAAGCTATGACTATCTCCGAGCCACGGGTGGGAAGTAACGATGTCAAACTACATTTTAGTTCAAGATACAAACAATCGAATTTAGAAATCTGAATTTGAATATGGTTCTACACAGCCTTCACTAAACTTAGCGATTTTTTTATAACTTGTATTGCTTTTGTCATTTTTATGTGTGTCATCTATATATATATAGTCCTTAGGAAATTGCGATTCTCTATACAAATTGGTTATACGGAATAAACGAAACAGTTTGGAAAAAAAGCAAGTTCGTAATATTTGAAAATATGGTATACGAATCAGCCTTCACCGTACAGAATTCTGATGGCTTAATTAAGAGATTCCGGAAAACACAGGCTAAATTTAGAATTTTGTGTTTAAAGAAAATCTTGTGAAAAACAAAGAAAACTTGTGTTTTTGGCAAAAAAAAAAAAAAAAAAACAAAGAAAACTTGTGAGCGTACAATTGTAAGAAAAACATGCCACCTTGAAAAGGAACGACACGACGTGGAACATGAAAATACGACAACTAACACGAATATATCGTGTTATTGGTATTGTCGTGGTCATTCAAATTTTTTTTTTTTTTTTTTTGTGAGAAAGGGTTGGTGGTGATCTGCGTTTGATGATTTTCACAACTACTAGACTCAATCATTGACGGTTCTCATACTATTTTTCTTTGTCTCCTTCCTTTCAAGTTGTCTCTCATAAGTTTGCATTTTCATCTTTCTTATTTCAAACCAAAGACCTATTATTTGCTTTATTACTCTATAGTTTTGTTTTGATTAAATTATTACCCTATATATATTAGAATGCCTCAAAATAATTAAATATTAATAAAAATCGGTTACGACCCATACTTAAAAGATTTCTTGGAAGGTTATGATAAAATTGAAAACTCTCAATCAATATGTGGTTTTGGTTAAGGCCAAATGCACAACTCCGTCACGATATGGTCTGGTTCCACCGTGTGTATGTGAACCACCCGATCACTAATTTTTGACCCAGTAATTTAATATCTGTTAGTTTCACAATTTTTTATATCAAATATAACGTCGAGATTAGTCATACGTTAAAATAACACACACATATATATATATATATATATATTGTGTTAATCTAAAACAAATATAATTTGAATGTCTCTTTAAATTAATGAATATTTGGGATATCTATGTTTTGGTTATCCACGAAAAAAAAACATTTACTTGATAAAACAAATGATGCAGCAACAGCAGTTCAAAAGAATATAACATAAATTACATAATGCTCAAGATTATAATACTACGTTACCATTATAATCATTTTTCATCGACAGTACTTAAAAACAGCATAAATATGAAAGTAAAACAAAAAAGGGCTAAAACCAAAAAAAGGGCTGAAAATGGGGATTTAGTTTGAATTATTTCCATTTTAGTTATAACCACATGTTAATTATCTTGACGACCCTATTTGCAACGGCCATGTATGATACGTAGGAAATCCAAACGTAAACAGGTAAACTCGATCGTCCAGTAATGTAATTGGCTAATTGCTATGACCACATTCCACACAGTTTAGCCAACATTTCTGTCGGTCACAATTAAAAAGAAAACCAAATATGAAGGATTACGTGCTTAATTAGATTAGTTTCGAAAAAACAAATAGACATCAACGATTCAACGCCACCATCGTTTGTGTTTGTCTTTTGTTACACTCAATTAATCACCAAGATCATTTTAATAAAATTATAAAACTAAATGGTAGTGCAAAAGTGCAATAGTGACTTCTATTTATTAAAAAGTTATTATTTATTAAAAAAATTATTAGACCATCATTATCCCAAAACCCCATTATGAATTTCTTAAGTATTTTTTAATATTAGTTATTGAATAAGAACTCATATTAAGAAATGTTTTGTTTTAATGGATTATTGGTAAAACCTTTGTAAAATTTCTTAAAATAAAATAAAATTAAATGTGATTTGCCCGAGGAAAGAAAATTTTAGTCGAGAGTTTACTCTGTCCAATGTATGTGTGATACTACGTGCCCGAGAAGAACCGGTTCCGCCAACTCCAAAATAATGATCGATTCCACTTGCTTTTGGGGTTGAATCCATTATTTAACTAATTTTTTGGGTTTAGAAACCCACTTCAGTATATGCGATAATAATGCTTCTAAGTCGTGAATCTATTGTCTTAAAACGTAAAATTGTCTAACATTTCTCTCTTTTTTTTTTTTTTTTTTAAAGATCTAACACTTTTCTTCAAACGTAAAATTATCTAACACTTTTATTTAACTTGTGTTATGTCTACTTAACGACTATACCCTAAAAAAAAAAATTCAACGGTGACAGATCACTCCTAGTTAAAAAAAAAACATCACATTCATGTAATAATTATAATTATAATAATATTAGATGATAATTAAACAAAAACAAACGTCATAAGAGCGATAACCCGTTACCTAACTTGAGCCAGGTGCAAATTCGTTGAGATTGGGGACGATTCGATTTTGACGGGAATCCACATGATTCATACAGATATGGAAACATGTTTTTCTTGGAAAGGTAACAATCATTCCTATATATTTTATTTTGGCACCAGATCAAAGTTGTCAGCAAATCAAAGTCCATTATTTAGAACGTTGCTTGCACACTAATGATTTGTGTTGTAGTGGCTAAAAGAATATCACATGTGATCAAATAGTGTTCCAGTCAAAACATTTTAAGCTTTTTTCCACCTCACAAAATAATACAATTCAACTGGATGGACCAGTTTTTTTTTTTTTTTGGTCAACATCTCGTACAGTTCACACATATCTGTATGACTGTAAATATATATATATATATACTATATATTCAACATTAATTCCGAATTATAACCATTCGAATATAAACTCGGGTCAAATGGACCACCTTTAGATTAAAACTTTTTGCTTTTTGTTTGAAATGATAATTCACGACAAAAACATATATTGGCCCTGTTTCTGTGTTAGAGGAGAGAGGCTACGATGAAGACAAAAATAAACTTAGTAAATTAAAGCGGCCGCTGAAAATAAACGCCAGCCGGTGACATTGCTACTTTGCTAGTTAGTTATGTGTTTTAGCCGCTGTTATTTGCAGCTGCAAGAAATTTTGCTTTCCATGACGTCGCCATTATCATATAGCGACACCTCTGTACCTATACCTACTTGAGATTTATGCTTCTATTTCTGTTTTTTTTTTTTTTTTTTAATCGCTCTCTTGTGTCGCAGCGACTTACAGACGAACATGATTATTAAAACATGTCAACATAATCGAGGATTACATAACCATGATATAATATAGTGGTTTATGTTAGTAAAATTATTGACTATTAAGTCATCATTCGAGTTCAAATTCACATAGTTGATAAATAGTGAATTCGGAAAAAATATGATTCGGCCGATTGGGCCTTATTACTAGCCCTAAGTTTTACGGGCCAGGCACGTAGCGTGAAACACTAGTTATCTCACGAATATTTGGTTCCAAAACAAAGTGAAAAGTGCCTCACACGAAATTGTTAACTATGCTCATCTGATCATCTTTCCGTTTCATTTACTGCACCAACCATTATAAGCTTAAGGAAAATATACTACAATATTAACATAAACGAGCTACTATATACTGATATACAATAGCTAGATTCAACAATTTATTATCTATATATAAACTGAAGATCAAACTTATAGCACATAAGATTTCGAGCATTAAATTTTTAAAGAATAAGAAACCTACTTTGGAATTTGCACATTGTTTTTATTTTGGAGATTGAACTTTACACACGTTTTCGAGACACTCATGAACTTTTTTTGTTTTTATATCTATCCTTGAAAGCCAAATTAAGATGCTTCCACATTTAAAAGGTTTTTCAGGTTTTATTTATGCGTTCTACGTTTGATATGTACACCTTTAACAAAACAAAAAATTTGCTTATGTACACATGTTCCATAAACTCCAGCAACAAATTATAATTATATATAATTAAAAGAACAAAGTGTAAAGGAGACAATAAAGATGACGAACTAGGAAACTAATACGTAAAACTAACCCATTTATGAATGTGTTGGGTATATATATAGAGCATTGTCTTTAAGGGCTCTTCTCGGCTTCATTGCTAGTCACATTATCCATCTTTAAATCGCCGCCTATGATAGAAGATAGAGCAGTCGCCAAAGCCGATTGGAAAGTTGGATCTGTCGTGATCGCCTTGATTGTTTCCGCTGGTAAAGATTGCATTTGATGAGTAATATTTCCAACATAATCCAGATTGGTTTGTATAGGACGTGTAGAAGATGAAGATGATCTTCCAAATGGGTCAAAAGATGACCCGGCGGTTCGGGTTTGAATCATATGGTGGTAAGGTGGTTGCTGATGAGTGCTAATGTTGCCGTAAGCTGCACGGTATTGCTCATTACGGTTACCACCACCACCACCCCAAATCATCAATGTGTTGGCGTTTGAGAAGTTGAGATTGGTTGAAGGATAACTATTAGATCTTGAGACATTACTAGAAGTAGAATTGAATCTATTGAGCATTGATAAGAACGGTTGCTGCGAAGAGGAGGGAGTTGTGAGGTCGAGGGTGACTGTGGGATGGCCTGACGAAGAAGGAGAAGATGTTTGGAGGAAATTATGTGATTTAGGTTTTGGAGTGACGTTATTGCCGGAGAGAGAGAAGTTAAGGCCATGAAGATCGGCTGGGACGGAGGAGGAGGAGGAGGAGGAGGAGGCTCCGGGAAGGAGCATGGAGGCTGCGGCCGACGTGGCAGAGGCCATGGCGGTTGCTGACATGGGAAGTGGATGGTTGTGTGTTCCTTCGTATGTTGAGATAAGTATAGACATGTCTTCTGAACATCTTTGCACCTAAATAAGGGATTAATTTAAATGTTAGATTGCTTTTGACAACATATATAAATATAACATGCATATGTCTTGTCTCTCTTTGTAAATATTTGGAATTATTGGTTTGGTTTTATTATTACCTGTTTTCTTACAGGACAGGAAGGTGCAATGGTACAACGATAGTATGCTCGAGGACATGGATTCCCTTTAGCTATTTTCTGACCATATTTCCGCCATTGACATCCATCGTTCATCTACACAAACACAAACCCAAGAAGAAAAAAAAAAGAAAAAAAAAGTCAAAACTTTTTTTTTGTTTTGGACTTTTGGGTGCGAAAGTCAAATATTAAATACTTTTTTTGTATATTTTTTTTTTCTTTTCAAAAGAGACTATTAAGTTTTGTTTTCAAAATATTAACTATTTTAACAGTTTGCCTTTCTAAAATAACTAAAAGCTTAAAGACTACAAATGATAGTGTAGTTTTACTCTTCAACTAATTAATTAAAATGAATACTAACATTTCGAATTAGTTGAATGATGTGAAGAAAATGTACTAACCGTCGGTGTCTCACATCTTGATCTCACAGAAACCCTAGTTTTCTTGATAAGGTTTTGAGGCAAAAGCTCTTCTTCAACTTCATTATCATCTCCATCATTCTTAAACCCAAAACTATTCTCTGATGGGATTTTGTTATTGTTACTAATCTCCAACGGCAACGTTTGTTGATTATGGTCAATCTCCTTCTTCTCATTAGGATTACTCAGATCCTTGTATTCAAATCCCATACGAATCCCTTGATCACTACCTTTTTCATGATCATCATTTTTTTTGTCATCACCCGTTTCATCCATGAAATCCTTCTTGTTTTCTTCATTATTCGTCATTGAGCCACTTGGAACCGGTGATTTTAACCGTCGACCTAGGCTCAATAAGACAAGCTCTTCGCGCTCACTAATCTTTTCTTTGTCTTCGTCTTGATGATGGCCTTTTGATGAGAACTTATTCCGATCTTCATGTTGTACCATTAATTGGTTGTATTGTGTTTGAAGGATCTCAAACTCTTTCTTTATCCTACTCAATGATGACTTTAGCCTTCGATTTTCCTCTTTAGCCTCCTCCATTTCGACTTTGGTTGAGTCCAACTGATCTCATCAATACATTTATAATGTATGATTAATAGAAATATGTTAAATATACAAATATCTACTGAATATTGGGTAATCTCTCCTTGATTTGATATGTATGCCTTAAAATCCAATACATAGTGTTTACTTTCTTTCTCATAATTATTGTTGTTGCTGATATATATGTGCAAATTATTCTCTGGTATATGTATATTAGACATGTTCTAATTAATTTGGAAAAAGATATGCAACTTCACCAAATTAAATTTAACATTAAAACAGAAAAAGACAAAAATGATAAGAGTTTCGAAGATCTAGCTAACTAAATTTTTTAAAACTAAAATTAAGCTTCCTTGATTAATGGTTTTGGATAAAGAACAGACGAGTACTCAAGACAATTCATGCATGTGAGAAGATTCTAAAATATAAGGATGTAATTCCAAGGATTGATTAATGCATATGTATATATGGCATATCATTAGTTTAAAGTTCTACAAAAACGGAAAAAATGATACCTTGAATCTCATATTATCATCGAGTTCTTGATGAGAATCATCGTGGGACGAATCAGCTTTTCTCATCTCCTCATGGCTTTCTTCTCTTCTATGACAACTCCTCAAGAAATCTTCCTTCTCCATTATTCTCCTTTGATATATTTTTGTAAGCTCTCATAATTTCTTTTGGGAACTGTTGATTTCTATATATGCAACCTATACATCCTTTGACTATACAATTAAATAATAAAAAAATATGCAAGTTTACTATATTAATATTCATAGAACATTATTTCTATATTAAAAAAATCTACCAAAAAATTATCATAAGCATATAGCAATAGCGTATATATAATAAATATATGATAAAATAAAATTCAAATGAAAGAGTTTGGTTTAATGATATTACACAATTATAAATTAGTAAATATCAGTTTAAAAGAGTTTTGTAGACTAACAAAGTAAATACGTTGTACTTAAATGGACTAGACGAAATATGTTTACAATTTCTATGTATACTTTTTTATTGGCAGCGTTAATGTTTCAAACCATCAGAAAAACAAGCACGCAACTCTGAAATCTTGAAAGGTCAACAGCCAATCCAGTTGAAACTAACCAAATAATTTACAATAACAAAGTACGACCAAATTGAAATGGGATTATAGATAGTATTAAGTAGTTCGTTCTCTTTTAAACAAATACCAACACACGTACTTAACAAAACAACAATTAATTGTGCATCCGATTTGTTAGGAAAAAAGAAAAGTAGAATATTGTTCGTGGATCGATAGTGTCGACTAACTTGAAGAGAAATATTCAACTTCAACGCTTAATGTTATACACAAAAATGTCTCACAAATAAACACTGTTAAGGTTTGAAGCCGAAATCGTGGACCCACCGGCCGACGTTACTGCTAAAGAACAACGTTGAAATTTCTTGATTATATGTTTACGAGTTTATCTCAAACGATCTAATTTATTGGTTTTTTTAACCTGTACGTATAATTGTATATGTACCTTATTTTTATCAAAATAAACACACGTATATAATATATATATATATATACACTTATATCACATAACTTTTGCTGGACCTGAATCCGAATGCAAAAGAACGTTTGGTAATAATTTTATGTGTACTGACAAAAGAAAACATACTTCATGTGCGTAAGAGTGGAATTATGAGACATTAATTATTATCCGACTATATAGGTCGAACATTCTGAATTTAACTCCCAAAAAAAATAAAAGTAATAGTTACATAATTCAAGGTAATTAATAAAACATGTGTGTCTAAGTACTCCAAAATATGATCTCAAAGTCATACGTTTGTAAAATTATACTAACAAGTAGATTTGTAATGCTTATAAAACTGTAAATCTAGACCAATATTAAATAAATGGCTATACACACACACATATATATATATATGTATATCTAACTAATCATATTGCAATTTTAAAGTCTATGTATGACTTGTTGCAAACAAATTTCCAAATGAAAATTTAATCAATGTCAAATTGCATAATTATATATAAGTTTAGCAGTTCGTCTCTTTGTTTAACGAAGTCTTTTAGAATATTTCCAAATGGTTGGCAGACTTGGCATTTAATTAATTAGTCATATATAATACACACTCTTAACTTAAACATAAATATGAGTATATGACTATGGAGTTGTAATTCATAAATTCATCAACATAATGATTTTTTGTGTGTGATTATTTACATGTGATTAATATTAACAACTTCATATTTAAGTGGACCACGATCTAAGAACTTTTGCTGGTTGCGTAGAGTTATGTATATGCCATTGACATTTTTACAATAATTAGTCAACCTGTTGACCAAGTTTTAAAGCTCATTTTCCTGTCTTAATTGTTTCATTTTATTCTAAACATTTTCTACAACTGGCCCCAAAAAAATAAAACAATTTCCGCAAAAAAAATAAGAGTACAATTAGGACTCCGTTGACATCAGCTAAATCCGTCGCTGCCTAAATCCAATCAGATGTAAAAAGTAAGCGGATACAGGGGTATACTTGGAAACACACAAAAATACAGAAGCACTGTTTCAATTAACAAAAACCCTAAACCCTAATTCCTTGCCTTTCCCTGGGCTTACATCTCTCTCTCTCTCTTTAACCTCAAAGATCGAGTCTTGGCGATTCGAGTTTACTCTCTCTCTACACAATCCCGAAAGCTATTGCCTTAGCTACTTATTCAACCTTAGAATTTCCTCCTGAAGGTAAAACTTAGATTGTTGTTTGGAAGTAATCTCCATTGGAATTCTTCTGTTTTTCGTTTTAGATATTTACTCTCTTTGAAACCTTTGTTTGCGTAATCTACGAAATTAATGGTTTTGTGTTTATGGGTTCTCTTTGTTCTTACAGATTTTGGATCAAATTTGATTGTTTTTGTTCGCAATGACGCTACTCGAAGTTATCTCCAACGCCGTAGCGAATCAGGATCGAGTCGACTCGCAATCCGATTTCCCATTCCCTCTTAGCAACGACGGTATCTTTGCGAATCTGAAACCGAAGCTAGAAAACCCTAATCCTGGTACCCTTATCAATTCAATCTCTGGGTGGGAAATCTCGGGAAGAGATGCTGAAGTCATCGATTTGGGGAAAAGCTTTTCATCTAAGCTGAAAAGGAAGCTGAAGGATACCAATGGATTTGACAAAAGTGAGTTTGTCAGAATGTTAAAGCAGTTTCTTGAGAAAATTGGTGAGAAAGTTGGGAACTCAGAGGCTGGGGAGGAAGAGTTGAAGGATTTGGTGGAGAAGAATGGGTTTCTGATGGGTAGAGATGTGTCTGGTTTAGTTTTGAAAGGGTCTATTCGTCTAGAAATGTGGGAGCTAGCGGAAACCTTGATTTCAAACTCCTTGGTAGATCATTCTTTGAACTCTTATTTAGTTAGCAACCTTGTTGAGAAGCACCGGTCTGATTTGCTTTGCGTTGTGCTCAAACAAGTCTCAGATCTTGGGGTAGCTGAGCTACTTTCGATCTTGAAGTATTTTCTTTGCCCGTCAAAGGAAGCAATTAACTGTATGGCCAAGGTAAGAGAAGAGTGGGACAGCCAGGCTTTGTTGGCTATTGAAAAGGCGAGCAACACAGAGCTATCAAAGAAGTCTAAAGTTGCTGAAGAGGCTTCGGTCTTGCTGATGGTTGCTCACGACGGGTTTTCACCCTCTGAGCTTTGCCTTCATTACTTGTTAGCTTCGCCGAATGTTGATGAAGTCATGTTTGCATCTGCAGTCAGTAAGTTGAGTGGCAATGAGATGAGTAGCTTCATTCGGTACCTCTCTAAATGGATGAAGAAGTACGAGAGGTTCCCTCAAGCCGGTCCATGCCCTGAAGCTGCCTCCATGCTCGGTTTGAAACTATGCGACTGGGTTCCTAAACTCGAAGACATAACCAAATGTTTGGGGCTTATTATCGATGAGAACTTCTCTACTCTGGTTCTGTACTCGGGTTTGCATGAAGAGCTAAAGTCTATTGCAAAAGTAGCAGATGGTTTAGCTTCAGAATCAAAACTTTGCTGTTTTGTGGCTAATGTGGCTGAAAGTTTGAGACTTGGAGCTGCCCGAAACTAGACTCCACAGTTCTCAGTCTTGATGGCGTTTGAATCAACCCTGTTTCACCTTTTTATTGTTCTCCAGTGCCTTTTGTATTTTCTAGTTTCAGTTCATCTTATTTTATGAAGTATAATTTTTTGGTCGTTATCTTTGAGAGTTTGTCATCCATCTCTGCAAATTGCCAACTCCCAATTAGGCTACACTACAAAGCCTACTGAAACCTGAGTTTAACTAAGTGGTCTTTTCATGGTTTAAATCATTTTTTTTTCTTTTTATAATCAAATCTTTATCAATAGTCGATACAACACCAAAAAACTTGGCCAAACGAAATTACATGATTCTTTCTCTCTTGAGTCTTTAATATTCTTGTGTTAGTGCAACTGCAAACACAAGTCCAGCCAAGGCAGGGGATAACAGATCTAAAAGACGATCATTTTACAGTTCGAGCAGCCACACGGCCTACACAAGAACCCGCCGCACGATCCAACGGCTAACGTATCACCAGGTTGCAGAAGAAGGGCAAAAATGTAATTATCCGAAAATGCTTTGTAGTCACGCAGCTGAGTTATTACACTTGTTCCTAAAGTAAACTGCAATCTGGGGACTACCCACTCCTAAATATCTCGCCCTTCTTAAATTGTTTATTTATTATCTCACTTATGATTTCTCAGTTCTGTTGATTCTTAATTGGTGGCAATTTTTCCCCACAAAGTTTTGATTTTTTTTTTGGTTTGGGTCTGTATCAGAGAATGGAGTTTTGCTCTTCTTTTTTTTTTTTTTTTGTTTATAGTACTAAAAGGTAAATCCAATGGCTTTAAACGAACGGTGCATGATTTGAATTTTGGAGATATGTTGCAGTTTTTTTTTAAGTTTAAAATTATAAAAGAAATATTTCTTTTCTCTCTCTTGGTGGTCACTGAAACTAATCACAGAAGAGACTTTGCTCTTTAAGACTGTAGAGAGATTGCAAATGGAAGGCATCTTTAGCTAATCCTGTAATTGAATCATTCACGGTATTGCTGTCTTCTTCTTAGTTTGTTGTCGGATTCAGACAGGAGATCCGCCACTTGCTCTAATTTCAGACCGACATTTCTCGAAACAGTTCGACTACTGTGGATCCCTAACCTTTTTTTTATTATGTTGGTTTTTTTTATTGTTGATTTTTGAGATCAGATAGTGTGGATTTGAGATCAGATTCATTTACTGGCAAGGTGAGTTCCAGATCCGGTTTCGGTTATTTCATTTCTGGAGTTTCCTACGTATTGCAATTTTGTTGATCTTTTTGGTTTTAAGGCAATCATTATATTTTTCTTTCTCTTTCTTGTTTCATTTCATTGCTTAATGATTGTGATCTACTATTTAATCTCATTATTGGAGCTACTTATATATTAAAAATTACAAATTTTTAACTCATGAACGAACGATTTTATAGCCGGACTGTGATTCGGAATTTGGATCCATTGAACTTAGTATGATGGATCTGTTACAAAGAGCTTATGCATCTCTTCATTTCCAAGCTCTAGAATGCAACACAACTTACCGAAATTTTTCAAAATTGCAGTCTTTGGTAAATGAAAGAGTTGTTGTGTTTACTGTATTTTGTGACTGTTTGAGCATAATCTTTTGTGATTGCTCGGACAAACGCAGGTGTTTTGAATTTTGGTTGTGGACATCATGGGAAAGCCTGCAAGGTGGTTAAAGAGTGTATTACTTGGAAAGAAACCTTCTAAATCTAGTGGTTCTAAAGACAAGGAGGTAACGCTTAAAACATACTGATTTTCAATTTTGAGTAGTCAAATTATTGTAGAGGACTAAAATTTCTCAATGTGGTTAAATGACATGTCTCTTTATTAGTTTTTTTTTGTGTTCACTTCAGTATTGCAATCTTTCTGTTTAATTTTTTCTTTTGTGTAACTTTCTGGATTCGTTTCTCTGTGTTGTCTGTTTCTAATGTTTATGGTTATCACACGCAGAGAGTTGTGAATGGAAAAGAGGTAGTGGTTATTTCAAACGTTGAAGAATCCGATGTGGTTTCGGATCTTCCATCTTTTGGAAATGGAACAGTTTATACCAGTGGTATGGTAGAGACGCAGAATATAAAAAATGAAGAGGTGTCAGAGAACGATATACAACTTCCTGAGGTCCAACCAACAAATGCTGCTTCTGTTCCTGATGATTCACTATCCGAATCAGACAAAATTCAGCAAGAGATCGCAGCAACAACTGTGCAGGCTGCCTTTAGAGGCTACTTGGTAATATTTTTAAAGCTCTTGATTTACAGTTATTGATGTTTTTTTTGTGTGTGGTTGTATACTGACCTGAGCTTTCTGTGTGAAGGCTCGGCGTGCTTTCTGGGCATTAAAAGGTATAATAAGGCTACAAGCACTTATCCGTGGTCACATGGTTAGAAGGCAAGCTGTGTCGACTCTGTGCTGTGTTATGGGAATTGTCAGATTGCAAGCACTTGCTCGAGGAAGAGAGATCAGACATTCTGATATTGGAGTTGAAGTTCGTAGGCAATGCCAGTTAAATCATGAGCATTTGGTAACTAACCACGCACTTGCTCTGTGATTTCGGTTTCTCTTGCTGAATAGCTTTTAACTTTTGTTCTGCAACTGTTTTTTTTTTCTCTGTCTGATCAGGAGAATAAACTCCCTGATGACTCCGTTGTTGACACACATACGTACCTGGGAATCAAGAAGCTAACTGCCAATGCTTTTGCTCAGAAGGTATGCTTGTTTTGGCTATTACAATGTTTGAAACTAGGAGTTGAGAAGGTGCTGGTGGATAATGATGCTGTATTTCTTTCTTATCAGCTTCTAGCTTCATCGCCAAACGTGATGCCTGTGCACCTCGCCGATGATTCTTCCAATTTAATCTGGTTGGAGAACTGGTCAGCGTCTTGCTTCTGGAAACCAGTTCCTCAACCGAAGAAAGCATCAGTCAGGAAAACTCAGAAGAAGTTTGCCAGCAATTCTCAGATAGTCGAGGGCGAGTTTGCTAGACAGAAGAAGAGTGTCCGCAAAGTCCCTGCTTCAAATCTTGACAATCCCTCGGCTGCACAGGCATCATTTGAGCTTGAGAAACCCAAACGCAGCTTCCGCAAAATCTCAACGAGCCAATCTGTAGAACTACCACCAGCAGCAGAAAATCTTCAAGTTGATCTAGAAAAAGTGAAACGTGGCTTGAGGAAAGTACATAATCCTGTAGTTGAGAACTCTATCCAACCTCAACCGGTTCCACGGAAGGACATTGAGAAGCCAACTCATGCTTTAGAAGAACCTGTGAATGACTTTGATGAAGAGAAAAAGGATGAAAAGGCTAAGACTGTGGTGGAACAGCCTGATGAGTCAATACACACACATGAACCATTGGAAACTAATGAAGTTCTTGATTCCACATTGGTCAACCAAATCGAAGAGAGCAAAGAAAATGTAATGGCTGAGGACAGGGAGGATGCGAAAGAAGAGAGAACTCCCAAACAAAACAACAAGGAGAATTCAGCTGGAAAGGAGAATCAGAAATCGGGGAAAAAGGGTTCTTCAGTTACTGCTACTCAAACCGCCGAGTGTCAAGAGAGTAATAATGGGAATCAGACTAGTAGCCCGGGAATACCGAGCTATATGCAAGCGACTAAATCTGCCAAAGCAAAGCTGAGGTTACAATCCTCTTCTTCCCCTAGGCAACAAGGGGCTGAGAAAGCCACTAGACGTTACTCGCTACCATCTTCAGGTAATAATGCAAGAGTCACTTCTGATTCTCCTAAACCAACAAGAGTCTCAAACTCGGGTGGCAAAACCGGAAAGAAGACGGAGAAACCTCTTCTTTCATCCCGAGAAGGCAATGGTTAGTGTCCTAAACAAACCAAACAAAGATTTCTCGCAAGAAAATCTTCTGCGTTTCATATCAGCTAACTTTTCTTGGATTGGTTTTGGGTTTTGCAGGGAAGACAACTCCAGTAGAGTGGAAGAGATGATTGATCATCTGGTTAAAAAAAAAAAAAGAGTTGAGGCCTTTGTTGTCTCTCGCTCTACAATATTTTACCATTTATCTATACAGTTAGAATGTGTTTATGTTTGTGTTTGTGTTGACTGTTGAGATTGAGAATGTACATCATAGGTTTGTTTGTTTTTGTGTGGCAAAATCGTTTTCTGTTTTCATCCTACATTACTTTATTACCTTAAATAAACCAACTTTAGATGTTTATGAGATATGTAATGGTCCTCAACTAAAAAAAGATTAATCTATATGTATATATATATAATGAAGTTTAACGTTTCTAATATGTTTATAAGTTACAAGTTCTAACCACTAAAATTAAATGTTTTATATTTATGAAATGGATACATGGTCCAATAGTCCTAAGTTTGAATGAATAATCGTAAATCTATAACTAAAGGCGAAAAAACAAAAGAAAAGCACAAAAGATAATTCATTGAGCTCAAAGAAGCAAGACTGGATTTTATTGCATGGAGAAAAGAGCTTGGAATTATAAAGTTGGTGTTAACACAAGCAGGACTGAACACAAGTTTTCGAACCAACCTCCCCTTCAAATTTTTTTTCTTTCTTTTTCATCATTATCAAGTTATTCTTTTTTTGAATAAACACCTTTTCTCCCCTTTAAGACCCTCTTGCTTCTTGAATAGTTTAAGCCAAACCTTCTTCTCTACATATTTCTTTATTCTTTCTTGGACTTAGTTTTGCTTATTTAGCATAATGCCATAATTACATCTTAGAATTTATTTGTTGTTCTGCTTAGAAGAACCAGTCTGTATATGACAAAGAAAAGAGATTTAATCATCAATATACTGACACTAATTTAGTTTTTTTGTGTGTAATTTTAATCAATATCTTGCTGTTTTATGGTAGTGATGTATTGATCGCCTATTATTTTGTATGAACATTTAAAACACGGACATAAATATATATATATATATATATGTATATAGAAACGGCTGTCCATGTCACGCAAAAGGGAATGTTCCAAAGAAATCTCAATGCTCTTTGGTGATTCCAATTGATAGGGACATTTTGTGTGAAGGACAATTCCCCAAAAAGCAAAAAAAAAAACAAGACTGCACCTATGAAACTATGTTTGTATGTGTATGTATCACACCATTCACCTTATCCAATAAACAAAAATGTCATATATGTATGTATATGAGTGTGTATGTTAAAAATGGAAAAAGTATGGAAATGAGAAAAAAGGAAAAAACGAAAGAGAGATATGCTTAGCTTCCCAAGAACAGAGTTCCAAGTGTAAACCTTTTTTGGTTCAAACTTGTCAGAAGAGAGTTCTTCTAATACCAGCCTTTTATATATGCTTCCTTCTTACCAATCTTCTTTACATTCCAGCAGAGAGAGAAATTTTCTCTCTTTTTAACCTTTTCCATTATATACTGTCAAGTTTTTTTATATATACTACCAAGCTAATATCTATTTACATTGTAGATTTCTTCAAAATGGGTGTTTCAATTCTTCATAGAGGATTGATTCTGCTCCTTGTCATATCCCTTTTGGTGCTTCAAAATGATAAGGTTTCGGGTTTAAGATGGGACAGAGATATGAGGCTGCAACTTCTGTCTGTTCGTCCTTTGCGTATTCTTAAAGAGTCCTCATCGTCATCATCAAAGGAAGGAAATTTAGATACAAATCGAGACTTGGCGCCTTCCCCTTTCGTTATGTCTGATCCTAATCAATCTGTGAAACGAATGATTGGAAGAGGATCTGATCCTATTCACAACAAATGCTGACATTGTTTTAAGAGAAACAATGTTTTGTTTCTGAAAGTAAAGCTAGTCTATACTCTGTTTTTGCAGTCTCAGTTACTCATATTTTCTTTAAGTACTCTATTTTATAAAAAGGTTATCATGTGTCTCTTAATTCTTAAAGGGTTTAATATATTGAATTTTGGTTCTTTAAAACATGTCTTGCATTATATATGTGTTTGTTTGATGCATTTTATATTTGAATACACAAGACTTGATTTGTTCTTTGTGTGATTCTCTCTGTTTCCGGTTGAAAAACTTCTTAATCAGATCATTACATATCAGTCAACAATCATCAAGGAATAAGATATTTTGGGTGAACAAGATTCTTCAAGAGTTTTGGTTCTTTGAGCCCAAATCCAGACAACTCAGAAAGCCAGCCAGGAAAAAAACTCCGAGTCGGCGGGGCTTTATTTTTGAAGTAAGCCCATTAATCATTCCGTAGGAACTAAAGCAACATGGAAAACGAGAAACATTATGTTCCTCTTCGACTGTGGGTATTTTGATTATTGAATATCGTAAAACTGTATTAGTATAATATAATTTATCTGATATTTGAAACATTAGATTCAATCCCAGGCATATACGGACAAACACCTAGTTTGTTAATATTTAAGATGCAAGACTTTTTTTTTTGGTTTGGATCTAAATCTTTACATGTTTCACGCTACACAAAAAAAATGTCTTACGTCGAAAGCTGAATGCCAAAGAAGTAGAACAAAGTTGAGAACCAGTTGCCAAATTGCTCTAAGCTTTTAGATGCATCTCATTAAAAAACAGAGTGTTTCACAGGAAAATTCTGTGTGTTTTCAAAAGCTATGTTGAAATAACATTTATATATGCATTAGACGATCATCATGATTATATTATATTAATGACGCAATTTTTCTTTTTGTTAATATCTCACATTCTCACTACATAAACTTCACTGCTTATATATGGATGATAAAGGTAACGATATCAATATTAAATCATCATGTTGTGAATTCCATTTTCTTATATATGTTCATCTTAATCAGTTAAGATTTTTGTTTTTATAAGTTAGAATTTATTGGAACGTATTTTTCGCAATTATACAAATATAGTACTCCACAAACAAGTTTAAATTTTTTTCTAATATAAACAAGTTTAATAATCTTCAACTTATAGCGGAAATGGTGAAAAACAAATTGGGGGTAAGGTAAGTGACAGGCATAAACAACTAATAAAGTAGTTGGAAAAAAGGTGGAGTAGATTTAGCCCTTCCAACTATAATTTATATAAGTAATACTAGTTTGCCAATCATTTCGGGCCCTTTCTCTTGTTGGTTCCGTAACTTGTTACTCTAATAATATCTTTTTTTCTTCCTCTAATAATGCTAGTCAAACGCAAATCATATATATACCACCTAAATGACTAGAGCAAAGTTGAGATCTTAAATGTTTTCTTCTTCATGTGGTCTACTACGTTGATGGTGCTACTAATGTTGGATACGATTTCATATTTATTGACTAGATAAAGGTTAATTAGTCTCTTTAATTTCTATCGTCAGCGTTTGAATTTTCCGAAATTTTTTAAAAAATTATTCTTTAGGTGGTCAGCTAGAACGTTGGTCGTGCTATAGATGCCGATTGCCGGACTCTGAATATATAATATAGTTAAATCAAATCAAATCAAATTATTTGGGGTTATAAGATTCTGGGTTGGCAACTTCACGACTCACGAGTAGGGCACGGTTGGTGAGAAACAAAGAAGTCTTTACACACAAATATTGAGTGTAAAATTGTAATAAATGCGTTCATATATTATTGTACGTATATTATTAATGTTATTCGTTTCTGCTATAATGCGAATGCTCGGTTGTAGTTTCTTTGGTTAAGTGAGGAGTTTCGAATCTCATACATTTTATTTTCCTATTGGAATTTAAATGTTTTGATCATTATTTGCATGCAATGAATTAAGTAACCCTATATATCAATTAACTACTATTAATTGGATATGGGATATTTTTTCTAAAAGAGATTGAACAAGAACTCACCGTGTATGGACATTCTCCCGTGGTTTTCGGCTTTTAAGCCCTGATGATCGAAGCATTTTATTTTCCAACTCAATTGATATGTTTACAACTATATACTTTTCATAAAATAGGAAATAGAAATTAAGCTGAACTTAATTCAACGGAAAAAAAAAACTACTATCTTCCATATCGATTACAATGACTAGTAAAACTCGAGATGAAAACATGTCAATGATTCTCATATAATATATCTCTTTTTTCTTTTGTAATGATCTTCACATATAGATTAATTAAAACTATAATTTTTTTGTTTTTTTGTTCTTCATTCATAATTATAAAACCCCGTCTTAAAGTATTGAGCACTGTCGATGTAGTCTACAAAGTTAATAATTTATATGCAGGGAAAAAAATTTAGTTTGATTATTTTAGGGTAAACTTATTTATATAGCCGAACCGCATGGGTCATTGATGTACTCTCTTTTGTGTAGCAGCTGGGATCCACATTTGTTGCTTCACGTTGTAAGAACTAAGAAGTCCATCAATCTCTTATAAAAAAAAACGAAGAAGTCCATTAATCTCTTAGTCAAATTAAGAAAACTAAGAAGTCCATTGACTAATTGCTAATAAGTCAGAATTCAATAAGAAATGTCAAATACATTTCTTTTGTTAATCTAAGCGACTTTGGTGGTTTAAACAAACTTAGTATTCAAATCTAAAAAGTAAGCAAACGTTTTATGTTAGAAAGTTAATAAATAAAATATATCAGTTTTTTGACAGAAGTTAATTTGCCAATCTCATATTTATATGGTCTGGTGAATGAAATATCCCAACTTGACTATAGACAAAATCAAACGCTAAATTAACATGTACATGCGTGAGACATAGAAAAACAGACAGACATAGATAGACGATAGATATATGCGCAAGATAATGTTTAATATGGTTTTGAAAATGTCAATCAATAAGCTATAGAAACATATTTAAATTTCTTATAGGTTGTGATTATGTCTATGTGAAGTTTTCAAAATAAACTTGAAGGGTCGTTGACTCGTTGTAATGCCATTAACTATCTATATATGAAGGGGCAAATTTTCGAATTACCATTACGACATTATCAACAAATGAACTTGGTGCACTTCAGTTTTGTATGAATCATGCAATCTCATCTTTTCGTCATAATTAATAATGTGTCATTCTAACGCATGCATCATATCTTCATCTTCATTCATTTTTCATTACACTAGTAATTATATTCTCCAAACGGATGTTCATGTATGATTAGTTTTTTTTTTTTTTTTGGTTTTTTTGGGTAAAGAAAAGCAAAGATAGTGTTTTGATTCACTAACCATATGAAAGTTTACCCATTTTTGTTCCAAGTGTTATAGTACTTTTTATCCTTTAAACTTGTTTTATTTGTAAACCGGTTTAACTTGTAATATTTTAGATTTATATCTTATTCAAATACAGAGAACTAAAAATACTATCGAATTGCTCTCGAAGCCGTTATTAACATTTTCTTACAGTCCTAATGGCTTCAATTTCCGTTTGTCCTCTAGAAACTTCATTACAATGTGGTTATACGTTGGTCACTGATGGACCTTTCATCTTTGTATGTTAATAGTTACTCTATTCTCTACATGTGAGTTAAATTAATATATTTGTATATTTATTTCACTTTCCGTTATTGCTGTAGATTACTTTGAACCACGTAATTCTCTTATATTATATAGAGGTTCTTTGTCCGCCATAAGTATAAGTTAATTTTGAAAAAATTGAATATAGTTTAATTTATATAAAGACGTATAACGGAAGCCCTTTATAATAACAAAATAAAAAAGCGATTGATAATGCGATTGTACTCCAACAATCTGTCAGTGTCTATTGCTTGTGGGAGCATGTCCCTTGGAGTGACTCGGATACGCATTTAATTTGTTTATTTAATTATATAATTTATTTATTTCATGATCCGGCTAGTGGCTACCATTCAATTGTTTTTTTTTTTTTAAATTTCAATTAACAAAATACTCTTTATGCAAACCAATGCACGTGAAAATAGCGTTAAAAATTAGGCTGGTTGCTGAGTTTCTTCTATGTTTTCCATTTTTTTATATTTCAAAGACACCGTTGGAAATGAAACGAACGTTAATTTTTAAAATTTTCAAAATTTAATAAAAATAGTAGTCTCATAAAGAGTAGATTCCTTCATATCGAAAATTTTAAGATTCTATCATTACTTGTATTCTGTAATAAGATAACTGTTTAAAAATTTGTTAAAGGTATCTTCAATTTTTTTTAATAACCTCAAAGTCCAGAGTCGTAACCTGTACATCTCCGTGAATCCGGAACTATATATTACCATGACACAATATAAATCATTTCTAAAAAAAGTAACACCTAGGGCACAACTGCGCAACGAATAAACCATATTCAATTCTAACAAAAAAATGGTTTACATGTAAACATGTACTAGACCACTAGCTAGTATCAAATTTGTTGTACTTATTTCATGTCACGGAACATATATTTACCATTACAAATATAATTATTTTATGTCGAAGTCTTTGTCTTGCCATATATAGATAAATTCAAAATTTTCAATGACTTCTTCTGAAGCGACTTTTTTTTTAAATGCCAAGATTTAAACAAGTGCTTCGGCAAATCCGTCTATAGTGTAGAGTTATATAGTCAACACTCAACAACCCTATTTATATGATAAGGGCTACAAAGGGGCATTAGCAAGTACCCTTTTACTTCATATCCAACAGTAGTATTTGATCATTTCCCCCTCAAAACAGAATACTTATAGAAAAAAAAAATTAGGGTTTTTTTGTTTGTTTCGGAGATCAGTTTAAAAGAAGATGAAGAAGAGGCAAGTGGTGGTAAAACAGAGAAAAGGCTCTTACACTACGACTTCTTCTTCGAGCAACGTCCGTTACGTCGAGTGCCAGAAGAATCACGCCGCTAATATCGGCGGCTACGCCGTTGATGGTTGCCGTGAGTTTATGGCAAGCGGCGGCGAAGGAACTGATGATGCTTTGACGTGCGCTGCTTGTGGCTGTCACCGGAGTTTTCATCGGAGGGAGGTTGAGACGGAGGTTGTTTGTGAGTATTCTCCTCCAAATTGAATCAACTAATTAACAAAGATGGGAAAAGAAAAGGAAGAAAAGCCAACAAAGGTATTGGTGATGTATTTACTGATTAGAAGAAACAAATTATTCTGCTTTGGATTTGATCTATTGATATTTATATTAGAGATGTATTTATGTATGTATATGGTTATCGATGTACATTCAAATACTTAAATTAACGCCGATATATATGATGATAAATGATTCTTCATTCTTGATATGATTGAGTGTCTTCCAAGATGTGTGCCTAGCCTATGTTTATATGTACGAGCTAGGCGTCAGAGATTTGTCCTACTTATAAGATTACAAACAATTTCATTTTTTCTTTCCTTTCGGATCTTGATTTTGTTTTTTGATGAGCAAAAAGTGTTAAGACTTCTAAGAAGTAGTCTATTTAGCATACAATGAGCTGTAGACAGTTTATGTGACGGATTCTGAAGACGTACGTAAACCATATATTATTCCATTAACCTTCCCTTAACGCAAGAGTCTCCAAGCTAAACGAATCTTGATTGAGCTAATCACATTTGGATATTATAGTACATTAATTTGAATGCTAATGTTTTAAGCGGATACAAAATAATATAAATTTATTATCTGAATGAGATGAATCCTTCTATATAAGAGATATAATTGCACTTGTGTTGAAAGAGAGGAATCCTTAGGTGCACTTGCAATCTCTTTCAATGCTTATTTTTGTATGTATTACTATATTTTATAGCACATGTACGAAGCTTATGGTCAATGACAGCTACAAAAGATGGGATATAAAGATTTTATAATTTGAAACTCTGAAATTAATAATCAAGTTAAAACTTTGGTAGTTACGCGAGTTTTAATTTTGAAAAGAGAAGTTGATAAGATTATTTTATTAGTATATAAAATCAACTTTGGATCTTAGCTTTTATCACGTAAAAAAAAAAATAATGAAATTTAATACATACAAGTACCAATAATATATGTTCTTCCCTTTGTCTCTTTCTCTTGAGACTTGAATATTCGACCCACCACTTTACATACAAAAGATTCCGATAAATATTCTACAGATATTAAAATAAGGTCATTTTCAACTAAAATTCCACTGAAATCAAATTTTATTGTCATGGCCACTGGCCAGTGTCAAACTCTGTGGAGTTCATTTACAAATTTTAGATAAAAAATAAGTATTAAAATAAATTATCAACGTTAAGGGTTCATATAGATATTAAGGGTCGTTCAATGTGTGTGCGATATATTAAAGATTTTTTGATGTTTGCTAAAGAAATTTAAATTCTAACACATTGGCCCACATCTCAAATCATGTTATCAAATCGTTTAGGTTCATGTATTTCAATTCGCTCTATATATAATAACAAAGTTTGAAGCGATATTACAAATAACATAAAGCAATGTTTGTAAACCAATACCACCAAAAAATATATTGGCTGCTTCTGCTCTTATCAAAGTGGCCACTCGAATTTGTTGGAAAAGAGCACTGTAGTTTTTTATATATTATAATTTCATTCTCAAAAAAAATATACAGAATAAAATACTCTTTTTGGAGAATACATTGTGATTTGTGTATCTCTAGACATTTCTCTTACCATTTTAGCGAGATTATAATAAGTCTTGTGGTAACTAAAAGTTGGCAACGACGGGGCCCCATATGTCACACAATCAGCCGCTCTATTCATTTTGACTTTAGTTTGCTAAGAAATAGGACTAAACGGAAACTTATAGAAAAGCAAAACAATATGTTAACTTTGAACCCACGACCTTTAACACCAGTCTCCTGAACTCAGGCTTTTTCAACAATATTGCTTGGCTCTGAAGCTTTCTAAGCAATAAAGACCCCGAAAAATATGAGAGAACCAAAAAAAAGATAGTGATGAGAATAGACTGATTTGCTTTCCTATATCTCACCGATTCAAATCACTGAGTACATAACCAAACAAACAGTGAGGAGTTATTAGGTTACTTCCAATTAATGTACGCTATATATGATTTTCTATTGAAAAAGACCATATCAATGTCAACTTGATGCAACGCAACACAACCATTCACAACACGACATGTCATTTCTATGGAATGTTTTGAAAAAAATGACGAAAAAACTCCCCGGATTCTATATACATTATGCACTTCGTCGTGTTAATTGGATAAAGTACTAGAAAGCCCAATAGTTCGAACAGGCCTTAGATGCATATGAAATCCACCGTTTCATTTCATTATTTTTTTTGTTTGGTTTTAGATTATAATTATTTATTTATTTTACGAAAATGTATACAGACAGAGAAAAATTGTATGTCAAGAATGGGATTTGAACCCATGCCCTTTCGGACCAGTACCTGAAACTGGCGCCTTAGACCAACTCGGCCATCTTGACCTTCTGTTTTATATTTTGATGATAAAATATCTATTTAAACTTGTTGCCTGCGTTTTTCCAAGCCGAACAAATCCACGACATTGTACAAACGAAATAAACCAGAACTCTGCACGTGATTCATCTTACGCAATATTTTCGTGCCTTTATAATACATTCCAAACTAGATGCTGTTTCTTGTAGCATTCAGGAATATGAGAACTGTAAGTTTATAACCAATGTAAGTTTATATAACCAATTGCTGTTCATTGTGCTACTAGGTGTTCTATGTTCTTTGAATCAATGCCAAATCCATGGCTGGGTTTTCAAAATTGGATTTTTTTTTATGTATTTGTGCTCATTGGGAGATACTGTTCTTTCCAAAGGCCTTAATAATGCTAGCCATCCTCCCTGCTGGCACAATTTTTTTAATAATGCCCAATAGCCTTATAGTTCTTGGGACTAAGACCATAGGATTTCACAGTGTCGAATTGCAAGGAATTGGCATGCTACGAATTGAAGGTTATATAAACTGAAACTAGATGGTGTGCGTTTTTACAAAATTTGAGGCCTGTTAAATATATATAATTGGTTCCTAGAATGATTCATAAATATTTGAAACCCAATACGTGTTTTTGTCAATAATATGTAATATACACGGGTTTGAATCTGGATAGTGATACATGGACGATACTAATTCAAATCACTAGATTACATGTCATAGTCAAGGCCTGATGAGCTTAATGTAGCCAGTTTATTTAAGTGTTATATTATTCAAAATTTAGTAAACATATTCATAAAAAGTGTGTTAGTCTTTGATCTATGTTGGTATTTCCTTTTTGGTCTTGGATTTTATAAGACTTTTACGAACAAGCTAACGATATAGCGAAATCATGTATGCTATAGTTATAGATTGAATTGTTCATCATCAACCACTTACATAAATAATATAGTTTTTTAAAAATAAAAATAATATAGTTTATCTGTCATGTTTTCGTATATCAAATAATATATATGTATAGTTATTTAACGAAGGAAAAAAAAAACCTTATATGTATACTTAAACAAGTAGTTAAATGTGTCTATTGTGTTTGTCTGTTGATAGATAGTGTTTTCCTTAAGGCGTGTACTATATATGATGAAAAACAAACATTTCTATATGAAAAATTCCAAAGTTATGATTTTGGATTGTTGTAATTCCAAAAGGACAATAATATGATACTGAAAAGATCTTTGACGTTGCCACTGCCAAACTTTCCAGCAGACGTCAAGGCAGTTTATACTTGAATGTGTGATACATATTTGTTAGAGAATTAGAAATCAATTTAAAACCAATCTTTCAACCTATTTATTACTGCACAATAGGCATAACAATAAATAACAATCTATTCCTTTGGTCCGATTCTCTTCTCTTTGTTCCACTTCCCCATTCCACTTGTCATAACATTGTCCACATCTTATTTCTCATGGATTAAATCCACAAGATATGTAATTTGGATACGAAGAAAATACTATTTGATGATTGTGATCATTCGAATCACTATTCGTAGAAGAAACTAGACAAAGTTGAGAGGTCTAGCGAACTCATTAATGCTAATCTGGATTTTTTCTTTCCGACTGCTAATCTGGTTTTTATCTATTTTATTTGGGAAGAATATGTATTATATTGACTGCCCCCCCCCCCCTCAATTACTTACGTTTAATAGGAAGAAAAAGCAAATTCTCGTATTTAGTTTTACAAATAAACACATTTTTACTTTTAACAAATTCCTCCAAATATATTGAGAATGCTAGTCCTTCATTTTCAATATAAACACCGTCTTCATCAATTTGAAATAGTTTGTTGCAAAAGTTGTTGACATTTTCTGTTATACGATCGTACAATATATGGCTAAATAAACAGTTCTAATTCAACGTCTAAAAGAATTTTTTTTTCCTAGAAACATACTTCCCACTTTATGAGAAATGTCCTTCGTCTCGATGACATTTCTTGAAAAAAAAACCATACTTAATATTCATAAAAATGAGGGGCTTGCAAAACTGTGTAAATACTAAGTATGACTTGGCACCATATCCTCCACTAAGAGTTTGTTTTCTATATAATAGCGAAAATACGTCTTCATGAACACATCGACCATTCAAAGCTTTTTCTCTCTGAAGATCTCCCATCATTTCTATAGCTTTCTTCTTCTTGTCATTTCCCTTTAAATCATTTTTGTTTGATCTTTTGTATTTTACCACTTCATAAAGTAGTCACTAAACAACATATATACAAACACAAAATAGAGATGGATGCTGAAAAGAAGAGTGCCCATTTTCGCCAAATCTCAACTTATAAACCACAACTACTTGTCCTCTCCTCGATCCAAGAGCACCCTTCTTCAAAAATCTCAGACAAACCCACGATCAAAGCTTCTGTTGCTGATGTTGACTCCGAGATCGGAGTTTTCGATGCAGAAAAGTACTTCAGCATGAAGCTAGATCATGTCAACTCAACGGTGGATATCACTAAGCAACACGAGAAGGAAAACAAAGAGGATCATCCTCATCCTCATCCACATCCTCATCCTCAATTGACGAAAACGACGTCGTCTAGATCAAGAACAAGCCGACATGGAACTCCAAGTGTAAGATCCGAGTCAAGTTACAACAGTCAAACCTTTCTCATGAGGACTAACAACAACAATGACAATAAGCAACGGAAAACAAACGAGATAAGCGTCTCTTTTGGTGGGTTTAGATGCAACGGTCCCTGCTCAGGGGTTAAAACCGTCAATACCGACAGGAAAATCTCCTGTAAAGGTAGAAATTCCGATCGGGATTTTGTTTCTTACGACGCAAGAAAGCACATTGACAAACCAAGACTCCGTTTTGAAGCCAAGAAACGGGATTATCCCGAGCCAGAGATGATTCCAGTACCTATCCAAAGGTCTGATATCGCCATGAACCTTGAGAGAAAGCTGTCTATGCTTACATGGGACGCGATACCAAACCATCTCTCTACCAAGAACAACAATCAAAACAATGGTAATAACTCCTCGATGAGCAGCAAGACGCAAGAGGAGGAGACAGCAAGCGAAGCGAGTTCTGATTTGTTCGAGATAGAGAACATAACGAGCAGTGTCTACGAGCCGAGTGAGGCTAGCATTGGATGGAGTGTGGTAACTGGAAGTATGGCAGATCAATCGGTGATTTCAGAATTCGATATGATGAAGAGGGCCACGAGAAGTGGTTCGGTGGTTAAAACCAAACCGGCAGTTGCTGAGAAAGTCAGGTCGGGTGGGTTTTTGTCGGGTTGTAATAGTCACAAAGCTGTCTCCGTTGTTAATAGTACTACTAAGAATGTTAAAGAAGCAGCCAAGGTTGATCATCAGGAAATGTCTCATCAGAAGAAGTTTAAAACTGAGATTAGGATTCAAGACTTGAGCTTTCTTTAAAAAACAATATTGTTCCTGTGTGTTATTTTCTAAATTAGTTTTTAATTGCTTTTGTAAGACTTTTTGCTGTGTATGTTAATGATATAAATTTGATTCGTGGTATTGAACTCTACAATTTGTGGTTTTAGGAAACACAAAAATACAAGAGAAAAAAAAAAAAAGCTGTAAAAAACTGTGAATTTTGGTGGAGCTCACCTACAGTACTTTAAAAGTTCTAAAAAACTTGTAGAATTGTTTGAAACGCTTATTATAAGTTATACTCATTGTAAATTTCGATCAGGAAAACCAAATGATGCAAACCAACCAAATGCTCGTATATGTTTTTGTTGTTAACTTAATGCTCTTATATGTTAACTTCAGTTTGTTTAGTCTTCAACCATATCGTACAACATATGTTGGTTATTAGATTTACTATATTATTTGGAATATAAATTAACTTTTAACCATGTTTCTGTATATCATATTTGTAACTTTAAGAGATGACAAAAAATATAAGGATTATCATTTCTACACCACATGTTTCATTATATCACATCCATGTAATGTACGTTACACAGTGATAGGAAGAAATTCTATGATAAAAACATCGTGATTATAAATATAGATCCCTCTCGTGATCAGTCGTGACCCTACAAATTATGCATGTGGATAATAAGAAACGATGATAATTTGACGTCAGAAATTATCCCTAAAAAGAAAAACTTGACGTCGAGACAACGAATATTAATTAGTTTGCATAAGACTATACAAAATCGGCAATACCATCGAATATATATTTGTGGCCATGCAATCGCAAATTTAGTGTAGGTTAGTATTAAATGTGAAGGGAATGTTCTCAAATTGGGACCAAATCAATAACTCGAGACGAGCGAATTTGTTAAAATAAATAAAAAAAGATAGAGAGTATGGGCAACGGATGTAAAAACGTCTAATCACAATAATTGGACCGCCTTAGATAGCACTATATTTCAATGAAAATATACCTCTCTTATATGTAGACTTTATTTTTGGATTTGTTAACCAAATGTTATTTTCTATTGATTTATATAATATCCTTTATACACAATGTATTTTTACCGGACTTTACAAAGAATTTTACAGGTATGGCAAATGAATAACAAAATTTGATAAGATAATTCGACTACACTACGTTGGAGCTCAATGGATGGTTTGCGTTGAAATCCGCTCTTTCCTCTATACGAGTTCAAATACAGTACCATGGTGGTGGTAGTGATGATGATGATGATGTATGACGATGAGTCGATGACTCGAACTTAAGTGATAAAAGAATTCATTATAGTAGTTGATTCGGTTATTTAAAACAGAAAACAACATATGCAAACACTTATAAGTTATTATTATTATGTAAAGAATCTAAAGTAGATTTGTTATAAACAAAAATGGTAAAGGTTTGTTTTATCGCGAGGTTACACCGTTTATTTATACGTATGTTACTCTCTTAATCCAGATGTAAAGTCAAAATTTAATGGTTCGACAGACTCTAACGAAAGTAATGTACTACCATATTTGTTAAATATTCGTGGAAGCCCCAAAATAGTTCTTATATTCTTCTTTTCTATATATTAAAATAAGTATTGTGGTACCACCAGCTATGAAGAATGTTTTCAACAATATTAATTACTTTGTGACCACCTCACCCAAATTCCATTCAATATTTAATAAGAAAAAGAAGTATACCTATTATTATGTTTTTCTGATATATATACACATAAATACCCAACTAAAGCCAAACAACTCCAATAAATCAACCGTTGAATATGAATTGTGTATACTTTTTCTCATAAATGTGATCCTCTTAAATATAAACATATAAAAATGGAGTGGCTAGAGTTATCAGTTCCTTGACAACATATTATTAACCTTTTATTTGTCAGAAAAGGAATTTAAAAACCAAAATTGAGTCACAAAGGTTTTATATAGACGCGTCTAGTGGCCCATGTTTATTCTAAGAGAGGTACATTTTTGAGAAGTACATTTTTGAACCAGCCCGTAAAGTTCCTTAGAAACCCAACTTTGAGCCCATGGATATATTGCAAATGCAGTTTAATGATTGGTACTTTTGTGATAACGAAAATTAATCTGATCCTTAGAACCTATATTACAAATGTAGGGTGGGTAGATTATATTAATCTGATCCTTTGAACTTTTATTAATCTGATCCTTAGAACTTATATTACATTTTGATTTATCTACATACTGATCTTTTTGTCATATCTTTTGTTTGTTTGTCAGCACATGATTTTTTTCTTTAATCATAAAAAACTTTAAAAACATGACATCATAATTGCTGGAATTTGGTAACTCAGCTAATCACCATCAATATCTGTATGGGTGAGTTAGATTTTTATAACTAAGAAAGCCTCTAAATAAAAGAATGAAGAAAACATAACAAGACAGCGAAAATCTCTAAACTACCCTTTGTGTAAAAAACACCCTTTTTGCCTAACCTGGCGTTATCTTATTGGTCAACAAAACCCCCCAAAACCCTAAATCATTCTGCCCAACTTCACGCTTCACCATCATATACATCGAGAGCTTTAGGGTTTTAGCGGTTACTCTTCGGACGGAACAAAAGGCAGAGAAGAGGAGAGGAGTCTAATCCTCTGCGATTTGCAATTAGGGTTTCCTCTAAAGGGTTGCGAGTGAAGTGAAAATGGTCGCTGACAAGAGCAAGAAGGCGAAAATTGATGAGAAAGTCGAAGAGGAAAACGTCGAGCAAATCGACGGAGAGCTTGTCCTCTCAATTGAAAAGCTTCAGGAGATCCAAGACGACCTCGAGAAGGTAAATTAAAAAAACATTTTTAAAACAAAGTTTATTTGCTCGAAATCTCCTGAATTTCCTTTGTCGATGTTCATTTATTGCTTTGGTAATGAGAATTGTCTGTGTTGGATGAGATGGGCTCCAAATTATGCGGAAAGCCAGTATTTTTATGTATGTTGTTTTGCCTTTCGATTGAAATCTGGTCGTTTTCACATCAGTTATATGATAGCTGTTGAAAATTGAGCTCCTTCAAATTCTGTCGACAAGTCAAGAAAACTGTTTTAAATATTAATTTTGCACCCGGCACGATACTAAATTACACTTTACACTTTGTTGAATCCATCTAAAAATGATCTCGTTTTGTTTTCCTTTTGGATGTTGTTGCTAGATAAACGAAAAGGCTAGCGACGAGGTCTTGGAAGTGGAGCAGAGGTATAACGTGATAAGGAAACCTGTTTACGACAAGCGTAACGAAATCATCAAATCGATCCCTGACTTTTGGCTAACTGCTGTAAGTTAGATTCTCTGTTCGATAAAGAGTTTAGAACAATCTTTCATTAATTTGAATTAGAGTTCTGCTTTCTTTGCAGTTCTTGAGCCACCCTGCTCTAGGTGAACTTTTGACAGAGGAAGACCAAAAGGTTTGTGTTTTACTTAAACCTCCCTTGAGATTTCGTTTGATTGGTTCACATTTTCATTCTTGTCATTCTTTTACATCATAGTCACCTTTTGATTCAAATTTCTGTTTTGACAGATTTTCAAACATCTTAGCTCTCTGGATGTTGAGGATGCCAAAGATGTGAAATCTGGATACTCGATCACTTTTGTAAGTTTCTTGAATCCAGCTCTTTGTTATTGTGCCATTTTTATCATTTTCATATCTCTGACTGATCTAAGAAAGTCAGGCATAAGTTTTTAGTTTCTTAGTTTACTGATTCTTGTCGAATTGTGAACTGTAGCACTTCGGTCCCAACCCTTATTTTGAGGATGGAAAGCTAACCAAGACTTTTACCTTCCTCGAAGAAGGGACAACGAAAATCACAGCAACACCTATCAAATGGAAGGAGGGCAAGGTAATTAGATATATATCGCACGATATAAGTTTATTTCTTGAATTGTCACTCTTTGAAATTATTCGTGACTATATTTTTCAATTATGAAGGGCTTGCCAAATGGAGTGAATCACGAGAAGAAAGGAAACAAACGTGCATTACCTGAAGAGAGGTATAATTCATCTACTCATTAAGCAATTCTGCACCCATCATAGATCCAAGTTAAAAATCTTGGCACCATGACTTGAACTTATCTAATTAGAAATTACATGTCAATTGACTCCATCTTGACTGTCTTTTTTCAGTTTCTTTACCTGGTTTAGCGATGCTCAACACAAGGAGGACGTTGAGGAAGAGATGCACGACGAGGTAATAATCCTATATTACTAGACAGTAACATCATGTCTAGCCCAATTTGAACTCAGAATATCGTCTTGTAGCAGGTCGCGGATATCATCAAGGAAGACTTATGGCCCAACCCTCTCACCTACTTCAACAATGTAGGCTATTCACCTTTTCATTTTCCAATCTTATTTTTGTTTAGGCATATAAGTTACTTGAAGATGTTGATTTTTATATGCAATTTTTTAGGAGGCTGATGAAGAGGATTTTGATGGAGATGATGATGGAGATGAGGAGGTAGAAAATTTCTTCTAATCTCCTTTACTTGGTTGAGTTTTCTGCTGAAAATCTACTGCATCTATGATTTGATGAGATGAAAGTTTAGATAGGCATATCCTGAGACAGAACATTGTTATATTGGTATAGTCTGAAACTATTCTTTCATTGTAAGTTTTACCTGATAAGTTTTTTCAAACTAAAACTCTAGGGGAAAGAAGGTGATTCTGACGAAGATGATGACGAAGAAGAGGAAGATGGTGAGGAATGATGAGAGGGTTTCCCAGAAACCACATTTGCTTTCATGTCTTCTATAACAGAATGTGTAAAGTTTGTGTGTTTGAAAGGTTTTTAATTTAAAGCAAAAAACTACAATAACAGACAAGCTTTCCACCTTTGGGGAAATTACTTTAGTTAATTTACCGTAATAGCTACCTTCTTGTTTGTATGAAACCAATTTCAGCCTTAGTTGCAGAATCCTGCTTAAATGGTGGTCACTCTTGCGTTTTCAGCCTTCGTTTTAAACTTCTTTCTTTGTTCTTCCTCTCATCAGCCATTGCTTCTGCTACTCTCTTCAAACTCAATTCACAGACCTTCAATGCCTTACACCCATCGTCCTCTTCTCCATATCACTCTCACGCCATGTACGGCTCAGCCACAAATCAAACACCACTAGTTTCTTCGCTCCTCTCTGTTTCTCTCTTCCTTCTCCTTCTTCTTCTCCAATGTCCAAAGAAGCCATTGTTCAAGCCAAGAATTGTACTGTAGATAATACTAAAGAAATCTCACATTCTCCCACTATTTCCGTAATCATGAAGGCGACTTCCACTTTTTGTTTTTATGCTACAGTTCTTTTTCACCTGTGTGTCATTACAGATCTATATATTGAGATACCATATCTTAGAAATGCTTTCTTGGGTGCTATTTGTCTTTGTGGTCTTTTTGGAAACTGGTGTACCAAAAACGGTAAATCTCTCTATGTGTAATTTTATCAAATAGGAGTATCTTACAACAACAGCAATGTTGCCGTAGAAAAAAACAATTACAACAAAATTGATTTCTCATTCTTAAGTATCACCTGAAAAGAATTAACTACTCGCAGCCATTATCTAAAATTTATTTCAACCGTTTTCTTTCGTTGGAAATGTAGTACATATTAATCTTAACCGTTACTCTTAAGCCGCAAATTCGATTATTGTTGGTTAACAAATTAAATTCTCACCATGCGTTACATCTTGTATCATAACTGACTATACATACTCAGGAGTTATGTTACTCCCTCTGTTCAGAATTATTTGATGTTTTAGAAGGTTTTTTTTGTTCAGAATTATTTGATGTTTTCACTTTTCAATGCAAAATTTAATAAATTTTTATAGTTTTTGACCTTTTATATTCTGCAGATTATCTTCTTATTGGCTGAATGATATTTAAATGGATTATAAATAATATTTTTAGTATAGAAAAAATAAAAATTAAATGAATCCTTAAACTGTGTGCAAAAACCTTAAACATCAAATAATTCTGAACAGAGGGAGTATTTTTCATACTCCCTCCGTTTCACAAAAAATATCGTTCTGACATTTTTTTGTTTAAAAAGAATGTCATTTTAAAATTCCAATATAAATTTTGACATAAAATACCATTTTTAACCTCAAAAATAAATTCAGAATGTTAGTTATAAATATAATTTCAAGAGTCATTTTCTGCAAATTAATAAGGGTATAAGAGACATTTTATCTTATTTCTTAATTTGTGTGAAAAATGTCAGAACGACACTCTTTGTGAAACGAAGGGAGTATAAACTAGTTAACGAAAAAGCGTAAATACATGAACTCGACTAGCTACTTCATCACGAATTTCATATTCTTCAATTTAATACACGAAAAAATCTTAGAAATATATGAACTTGATTACAAATACCTACTGAAGATTCTAATCATAAAATTTCGCCAACTTTGAAATTGTTCTCTATAACTGCACATAAGTTTTCGTAAATGTATGTAGTATGGACTATGGATCCTCTCAAAGAACCAACTTAACTAGGATTGGATAGCGGTCAAATATATACAATCATTACTAATACCGTGTGAAATGTAATGCATATAAACGTACTGACAACAACATATTATTGTCACACACTTAACGTTGCGTATGCAGAGTTCTAGCAAGTTGTGTAAAACTGATTTTTACATCTTCTGGCAAATTTTTTTTGGAACATGGGAAAACGGAGAATAGATCTCATCAACTCATGATCATGCTGCATGTAGAGATTTTTCGAAAAAGAAAGTCTATATTTTTTATTACGGGTTAATCCTAAAAACGTTCCTCTTATCTGCATTAACTAGCATTAATCATTTCTATCTCTCTCGTAACTCCAAATTTACAGGGTAATCAATTAGCCGTCAATACCCACTTTTCCCGTAGAGTTTGTACTTTATAACTTCGCTTCTATATCTTCTCTTTCCATATCTATACCATATATATATATATATAAATATATATATATATATATATCTTTCTCTCTCTCTCTGGTTAGTGATCAACTGATCATAAACAAATTAAAGATGATGAAATCGTTTAGCAAGTTGGAGTGTGATGAAGTATTTGGCAAAGAAGATAAATCATTCTCATTTCTAAAGTATTCCTCTCATCAAAGGTAAATGAGTTCTTTTTTTTTTTACATCTTCATAATTTTTATTGATTGATGTCTGATGTTGTCATTGCTGTATGCTCCTTAATGCAGCGAGTTAACGAATCCTTTCTTTGAATTAGAAGATGACAATTTTTCCACTGGCAACTATAACTATTATCTTCCATCTGCCTCAAGCTTTCTGGCTTTACCTGATATTGAACCCATCTCCATCGTGTCTCATGAAGGTATATCTAATATGCACTTAAATTGTGTGTTAGATTGATCTCATGTATTAATGTAAGCATTTCTAATTCTTGTCGTTTATTTATGAAGACTTACTTAATGAGTACGGTTCTGTTTCACGGACTGATCAAGAAGAGTCAATGTTCGATGAACATAGAAGAGAAGATGTTGATTTGGTGAAAAGGACTGAAACTGAAACTAGCAAGAAAAGGAGAGGCAGAGAAGATTTTGATTCTAATTTTTCTGTTGCAAAGACATTTTCGATAGAAACCTTGTCATTGTACTATAACATGCCGATAACTCAAGCGGCTAAGGAGCTTAACATTGGTTTAACTCATTTGAAGAAGACATGTCGAGAATTGGGTATTCAACGTTGGCCTCATCGTAAGATTACGAGCCTAAACAATCTCATCAGTAATCTCGAGGTATGAACTTATTAATACACATGTCAAATGTGAAATTCCTGCGGATTTTTTTTTCCGAAAAGAAACCCATCTATTGTATCATTATATAATTACAAGCAGGGGGAGCTGGAGAAAATGGAAGACCAAGAGAGCGAAGATAAGCTAAGAAACGCTTTGGAAAAGCTCAAGAAGGAGAAGAAAATGATAGAGGACTTTCCAAATTTGGAGTTTAAGGATAAGACAAAGAGATTGAGACAAGCTTGTTTTAAGGCCAAGTATAAGAGGAAAAGAAGACTTGTCATGGCCAAGTCGATCACATCACCCTAATCTTCTTCGTACTCTTCGGTTTCGGGTCTGAGTGATAACAGGTGCATGATGGTCGTGGATGAAGATGTAAGAGAGAGGTGAAGTATCTCTTGTATAGTTTCTCTCATGAGGGGTTTATTAGTTTGTGACTATGTTGTGTAATGTATTGAACTCTGATTAGTAATTACAAAAGCGTTTTGACTCATTAATATTAAAACTATTACTAAAATAGTACTGTCTATAGAAATAGCCCTTTTAACGTTTCAAAAAGCAGAGTTGGAATATTTCTTGATAGAAGCAGGAATCAACGATGATGGTATCGCCGATCTGATATTAGACCTAATTAACTACGTTGATGAAGTAACTTGGTCTGCAAGTAGTAAGTATTCTCCGGGTTGTGTTTTGGAAGTGTAGTTGGACTCATAAATTTCACATTACAAAAAAGATAGACAGTAAAAATGGAAATTGTTATATGTCACCTGAAAAAAAATGGAAATAGTTATATATCGTCTGAAAATGGAAATTTGTAGTCTTTTTGTTTGTTTTCTGGTTTAGAAAAAAGGAAACAGCTGGGTGATATATAAAGGCACCGACTTAAAAGACCTGATAACCAACACTAGCTAACCTCCATTATAAATACAACTCACCCTAAAACTTACCAAAAATCATCGTCATCGATTTAATTTTGTTTAAACTTTTTGTTTGAGCGACTACGAACCAAAAAAAAATTCATTAGGGCACAGAACCCTTTTTGTTAAGCTTATCGACAGTGCTTGAGTAAAAGTAGTCATGAGAGTTGATTTGTATCACGATATCAATAACGATCCTGAACCAGAAGATGCTGGCACAATCAGAATCACTGCAAGGATCCTTGGTGAATATGATCACAACCCGACGACATTCACGACTCTGCCGACGTTTGTGAAAGACTTCAACGACGATGAGGACGACGTTTGTAAAAGCAAAGAAGACTTGAATTATTTCTTGTTGGAAGCCGGAATCAACGATGATGATATTTCTGATGCGTTGCTGAAGCTAATTGTCTATGTTGATGAGTTAACTTGTCCCACAAGCAACGAGTACTCTCATACATGTGCTTTGGAGGTTTGGTTGGATCTTGTTCCTGATTATCTCGATGATGTTGATGATGATGAAGAATCTCAGTCTCAGATTGAACAAGTGGCTCAAGTCTCGTTCGATGAGCACAGTAATACCCAATTTCGACCAGCTAGCAAGCTCGTGGTCAAATCCCTAACCAGGAAAATATACAACAAGAAGATTAAAAAGGAGAAGAAAATATGCAAGAAGATTAGCTTGGAAGAGTGCACAATTTGTTTGGAAGAGTTTACCAATGGAGGAAGAATTGTGACTTTACCTTGTGGACATGAATTTGACGATGGATGTATCGTAAAGTGGTTTGAGACCAGTCATGTTTGTCCACTTTGTCGTTTCGAGTTGCCATGTGAAGACTGAAGATCAAGGAACTAGTGTTCGGTACGAGATTGTAGACTTGACGTAGGGTTTACTTATTGTAATGAATCTTTGTTTTAATATTTTTTTTAATTCGATTCTAGTCTTGTGACTTTGGAGTATGTTGTGTATACTATCATCATAAGACTTATATTAACAAAACAGTTTTCAAAAGGTGAAGAAGAAGATAGGACGACCAATTTTTGTTGTCTCAATCACTTAGCCAACATCTATTAAGAAACTCTATATTGATTATATTTATCATTCTTACAAAATATATGGTTTCTACGCAACATATCTTATACACAAAATGCCTAAAACTCCCCTGAGTATATGACACAAGCTCTCATAAATACAAGTACATATATACACACACACACACACACACACATTCGTCACTCTCTCTCTCTCTCTATATATATATATATATTGGACATTAGAGCAATGGCTCAAGCTAGTCTTCCTGTAGAGTCCAGTCACCATCCATAGAATAGGTTACATACATGAACCCTCTCTTGATTAGTTCGGTTGCTGCAATTACCAAAGATACAGAGACATATTCAGTGTTGTGGATCATATAGCTAGATAGTTCCTATTGATGGTGTGAAACACAAACCTGGCTGTAAGAAGTCTGACCAAACATTGAATCTGGAACCCAATTTTGATGATGATGATGTTGATGATGATGATGATCAGTGGCAAACATGGATTGATCATGAGGAATTTGAAAGAAGCCACTATTATTAACCGTTGGATCATACATTGATGAAGGTTTTTGCTGTTCTTGCAAGTTGTTCAACTCCATTTCACATTTTATCTTCTTATCCTGATCTTCTTCCATCCCCAAACTAGTACCAAATGGTGTGGGATATGGATATTCCTCCCCCAGTTGTTGTAAACCCAAACAACCGTTTCCTTGTTGTTCTAAGTGCTCAAATTGTTGTCCCGGGTTGCTGCATATCTGATCTTCTGGTTTTGTAGTCTCAAAGAAGCAGTTTGAGTAAACGGGAATCGAACCATCCATATCTCTGTTTTCATATCAGTAGATCATACACTTTGAGAGAGCCTTTTCGAAGTGAAGGGTTTTTATATATTGTGACTTAGACTCTTACCTATGAGGAAGAAAGCTGGAATCACCAGGTAAGATTGTTTGCTGGTTCTCGTTATCAGGAAGCCAAGACATCGAGTGAGCTTCTTGCATACTATTATTACCTCCCATTGCCAAAGGCAACTGTATCCCGCTGTGAAACTGCAGTTTAAGGATTTGGCCTGGTTAAGAAATTGTCCTGATGAACGCAGAAATAGAGAGAGAGGAAAGGGGACAAATGGTTTTAACCTGTGTAGTTGTACATTCTATTGGCAAAAGTTGGTTCTTTCTGTAATGTTCCTGCAAATTGAAGGAAACCGTCTTTAGTAACTAAATTTTATATGGGTTCAGGAAACTGAATGAAATCCTGGGTCTATATGACTGAGTCAAAAGGAAAATATTATAACACACCTTGTGAATCTGGATTCTTTCAAGAGATTTCCTTAATGATTCTTCCAATAAATTGAGGTGCTCTGTGTTTTCTATTCTATCGATGTTCGTCCAACAACTGAAAACAGCCACCAGAAGAAGAAGACTCAAGTATGACTGAAACTAGATTTCAAGAAGCAAAAACTTTATAACGCAAGAAACTATAAATTTTCACACCTCAGCCTCCTATGACACTCCATAAGCTGAGCTTGGAAAATCGCTACTTGGTTACTTAGACCCTGTCGTGTAGTAAAGGTAAACAATGACTTTAGCAATCTGACTCAGAGAGCTTTAAAAGTATCAAGACAATTCAAGAACCGATGATGGTCGATCCATACCTCAATAGTTTGATTCCTGGAGAATAAAGAAGACACCATCTCAGATATCTCAGAGGCTTTTAAATGAAAAAAATAAGGCTATTAATTTTAAGAACTCATGGCAAGTACCTTGCTCCTAAAAACTCATTTATGTTTACATCATGATCCAGCTTCTTAAAAGTCTTCTTCAATCCCTGTAATCGAGCAAAACAAATAAGCTCAGATTTGCGTTTCAAACAAAACAAAAAAAAATTTGATGCAGAAAGGAAAAAAATTCAGTGAGTATTTTTCCTTACTTCAAGGCTCTCCAATTTCCTGTTTTGTAAAAATAGAAAAACACATTTTGTTAGTTTCATAACACAAACGACATTAAAGGGTTGATAGTAATCCATACTTTTAACATAATGCTTACCATACCTTTTTGTCCTTTCTTGTGGAGTCAATTGCGCAAACTTAGTGATAACATCTTCAATGCAACTGCAAAAAAAAAAAAAAAAAGTTAAAATACTCAAATTAGTTAATTGCAGGAAACTTGGAAATGGATCCTCAATTCGTCATCTCTCTGATAGAATTCATGAAGCCAAACAACTCTTTGCTACTCAAAAAATAATACTGCTCCATAACTCTCATCATTCCAGCTAAATCCATAAAACAGCTTTGGGGCATAGAAGAGCATTGAGAAGAGAACAGAATGCAAAAAATAAATAAATGAAGATATGATGCACTGAAACACAAATTAAACATGATCAAAGAGCAAAGAACTTGAGATCATTTTTTACCTGTGTTCTCCATGGAAAACGTTAGGCTTTCCGGTAGGAGAAAACATAAGAAGGACAATATCAATATCACACAAAATCGATAACTCTTTGGCTTTCTTCAATATCCCACTTTTTCTCTTCGAGTATGTAACTTGCCTGTTGGATGCGCTCTCAAGTCTTTTAATCTTCAACTTAACCCTACCCATCCTGTCAAAGGAAGCAGCATCAAAATCTCAGGGGACAAAACAAACAAATACAAAAAAGTATGAACTTTTTCTTCGAACACTCACTTCAATGACCAGATGATATGTGACTTCTAGCAAGGGATTATGTTTCTCTCTGTATTATAGCTTCAAACCAAAACAAGTCGCTTCGGGATAAAGATTGAGCAAATGATGAAATTGGTTTAATTTAACCCATCAAGATGAAGAACGAAAAAAAAAATCCAATCTTTGAAGATGGGGGACGTCTAAATTCGGACACAGAGTCTCTCTCTCTCTAAAGAAATATATTCACTGTAACGGAAGAATAAAATGGGTCTTTTGCGGCAAAACAGATTATTTGCTTGGAAACAAGAGAAGGAATTCATGAAAATGAGCACAGAGGAGGCGAAGTTACAAAGAAGAGAAAGATCATGGAGGAAGAAAGAAAAAAAGGCACCAAAAATGATTGTCCCGAGAAAGAAGAAGAAGAAGAAAGAAAGAAAGTTGAATAAGAGAAAAAAGGGAAAGATTAATGGTGGAACAGAGAGAAAGCTCACAGAAGCAGACGAAGGGACAACCTTTGATTTCGCTGTGAAACTTAAAGACGTCGACCAACGGAATTGTGTGCTCGCTGTAGACAGAGAACCGGTTTTGTTTAATCAATTTCTTTTCAAATCCGATTTAAACCGAGAAAATCAATCCGATATCGCTTAATTGATTAACTTGTGGTACAACTTGGGCCAAAGTAAGTCAAAGCCCATTATTACCTTTCACTTGTCTCTGGGTCTCTGCCCTAATTAACTCCGCCTCTGTTCGTCGGTTCGTGTATTTAACACTTCTCGAGAAACCCTAGTCTTGCCTAATGTTTTATGTTTTTGAGGTTCGAAGGTATTAAAGATTTTATCTTTCGTAAATCTCTTCCTTGTTGCTTACTGTGTGAACTTGTTTTTGTTTGTTTTTAATGCCTATGATGGTGTTAAATATACTTTGAGAGAGTAATCTCTAGGAAAAAGAAATCAACTCTGAGGCATTTTTTCCTCCTTACACTGTTACACATCTGATTTCTCTTTTTTGATGATATAGTGTTTTAATCTTAACTGAATATATAGTTGTTTCCTAGTCTGCTGTTACTGTTTTACGGCCTTAATGATGGTTTTGGTTTTAATTGCTATCTTAATTTCTGTTTAGTGTTGGTTACCTGTTGGGGTTTTAGTCAGTTAGTGCAAGTGACGATGAAAAGACAGGGACATCAGAGTCTCCTTGTTAGGAGATGTAAATGATGATTAATGTCTAAATGGGAATCTCTCTGATGCGCATGTTACAGACTATCCAAGTGTTTTCAATTCTGATCGAGGTTTTTTTAGTTTTTTTTTTCAATTCTTACTGTTCTTTGATTTCATTGTAGTTTACTAGTTTTTGTTCCTTTCTTAATTTCTGTTTGGGTTTGGTTCTTGTTTATCCCGTTGAGAAATTTTGATTGAGATGTGCAAGTGACGATGAAAAGACAGGGACATCAGAAAACCTCCTGTTTGGAGAATGAGAATGATGACTAATGTCTAAATGGGAATCTCTCTGATGCACATCACTAAGAATCCTCAATTTGTTTTATCTATTGTTCATTCGATTTCAAGTGATTGACAATGTTTGTTTGGTAGCTGGTTTTGCCTATGATGCATCTTTACTATTGCACGTATTAACAGATCTTCAGTGATGAGTATCACTAATTTCTGAGGCAAACCGCACTAAGTGTTCATGACATGTCTAAAAACTGACGATGACTCTGGTCTGATTATTTGCATTTTAGGTCTGTTCTCTCTTATGCTTTAATATCTGTTTGCAGGATGAAAATTCGAGCACATGAAGTTGAGAGCTATCTAGCTTAAAAACCTCGGAAGAACTAGATGAGAGATTGAAGCTATTTTGTATTTGTTTTGCATTTCATAGGATACTTCATTTGTAATTGTAATCATTTAACGTAATCAATAATGGAAATCTTTCTTCTTTCAACGAATATGATTCTTTTGCTTTTTAACTGTGTATCAAGAGTAGCAATCAAGAGAAGACTTGTTACAGTTCATCAAGAAATAAAACCTCAATCTATCAACGAAATACATCAATCGTGATTCTTTGGGAAATCACTAAAAACACTAAGCAAGTGGCTACACAAAGAACGTCAACTTCTACACCCTTTGAATTGCTTTTTTTTTTTACAGTGATCGACAAGAAAAAAGAGAAAGAAAAATCCGAATATGAATCATCAGTTTCGGACAAACATGTTCAAGACAAGATCTTTATCAAAGACAATCAAGACTCTCGGTTCGGCTTCGAACAATCCGATGGAAAACTTCTCTTACTTTCCTCTCAAACGGATCCAAACCATTTTTCAAAGCTTCATGAACCTCAACAAGCTCCTCCACTCTCTGTTTCACCTCAATTTCCTTCTGATCAGTCAACGGAAACTGAATCGAATCGACCAATTCGTTCATCAACCTCGAGCTCTTCTCAATCCGATCAATCTCTCTAAGCAATCCACAACAATTCTTCCTATCTCTTCTCTTAGATTCCTCCACAATCTTATCGTGCAACGACATAACCGGAGCTGCCCATTGGAAATGCCTTGGCACAAAGAAATTCACTTGCAACCCACGATCTTGACAAGGAATCGCAGCGACCAAAACCCACATCACAAACAACAAAACCGACGTCATTGTGTAAACCGGCACTGCTAAACCGTTGGTTGCAGCGACGTCGTTTGGTCGAGGCGTTGCCAAGTTGTTCGCCAAGGCTTGTAGTTGCTTTGAAGCTGACCAAGACCTCGACACACTCCACGAGAGAGACCTGAAATGTCCAATCGAACGGTGGTGATTGTGACTGTCTTTGACTCTCCCGAACGAACGGTTACGATGAGCTAGATTAGTTGCCGAAGAAGGGTCTTTCTCGTCGAGCATTCCGATTGCTAAATCGATCAGAGCCTTCTTCGCTCGCCGGAGCTGTCCTTCTCCGATCGGACGGTGACTGTCTAAAGCGGAGATAACGATGTCGGCGAGTTTCTGCCATTGACGGATCTGTTCGATTCCGTCGCGGATTGCGTTGCAGACATCGAGGGCTTTGATGCTCCGCTCGAAGTAATCGGAAATCAAACGGTCCATCGGAGATCTGGAGACCTGCGATCGGTGGTTGAATACGATAGCTCGAAACTCCTCTTGGCAGCAGAGAAACGAATCGAGAAGCTTCCCGATCCATTCGAGAGAGAGAAGCTCGTTTTCTCCACCGGAGGCGTTGAGATCGATGAATCTCTCGGCGACTTGTCTCTGAAACGAATCTAGCTCCACCTCCATGTTGTTTGGCTCGTGGTGGCTACTTCCGGCGCCGGCTGCTGTGGAGTCAACTTGGTCTCGCCGTAAACTTAGCAGTGACCTCCCAAATGATCCCTGAAAATCTGTCGCTGGCATCCTCAGTACAGATGCAAAGTCGGAATTTTTTTTCTTCCCCTCGAGAAAGTCAGGTTTTTTCTATAGGAAATTCTCAGACCCAGAAATTTTTGAAAGAAGAAGTTTTTGTTTTTGGTTGTTGAGAGAGAAAAGAGAGTGATGATGATGATTGATGAAAGCTAGAAGAAGGAGAGATGGGGTTTATAAAGCGATAATATTGACCGCGTATTTTAATATCTGCTTTAGAATTGTTCAATATTTTGGATAATTTAATTTTTTCCCCTTTTGTTTCTGTTATTGTTCACAATAAAAGCTTCAACATTTAAAATAAAATAAAGTTGTGACGAAAATAAAGCTATAATTTGATTGTTTGTGTTCTCATTCCTTTTTTTTCTTTCTCTTTTTGTTACTCGGCACAAAACACGCAGCGTACACGTCGAGTGGTAATAAATCTAGAGGCTACAGATCTGTAATGGGCAGTGTAAAAATCTTAGTTGCGGCCATTCTCGAGTCACGAGGCTGTGATATTTGAGGTCGAGAATGAGACACTAGTGGTTGCCACGTGGGAATCTAAGACAAGGGAGCTGTGACGGGAGAGTTAGTCAATGCACTGCACATGTGGAAAAAAAAACAGCTAAGTCTTCGTTGGCGCGTAATGAATAAGAGAGAGTAAAAGGGACTCGGTCTTGTTGATTCGTTCTCGTCTTTCTAGAAAGTAGAAAGCTTCAAGAACAAATGCTGACATGTAATTCCCTATTATTGTTTTTATTTTTGTAATTTTACTCTTGCAAGACATTTTACAATTTTGTTGATTTTCATATACTTTTCATAAATATTCTAATATCTACTATATTGGTTAACTATTTTGTATAATTGTTTTTAAAATTCAAGAAATAGTGTATTTTGTAGCTAAATGGATAAATAAACAAAGAAAATAATGGAATATTGTAAATGGTGTCATTAACAATCAAACATCTTGTTTGGGCCAGAATTATAAGTGCACAACTACAAGAATTGATTGATTAGACCAAAAAAAAAAAAGAATTGATTGATATCAGACAAATTACACTACCTACAGATATCTTGTAGTATTTGAAAAAAAAAAAACCAAACTACTAAATAAATCAGTAAAAAAAAATTATCTGTTAAATGAAAAAGCAAAAATTAAATAAAGAAGACCACACGTGTGAATTACAAAGCTCGAAAGGCTTTGAAACATGGAAGCACGAAGATTACTGACAAAGACATGACAAGCTCTCCTCCTTCTCCTAACTTGTTTTTTATTTTTAGTTTAAAGTGTTGATTAGTTTGTTTTATACTTTCGTCAGTTTAAGGACAGATAAAATCGTGCAAAAGCGTATTTCCCGCAAACTGTTCCTCATTAGACTCACTGTCCAGTGTACACGACCAACTAATTTACCCCAAATTGAGTAATTATTAATTTATATATGTATGGCAATTTCAAAATAATTGAGACAAAAATCTGAAGAAGACGATTGCTCCTAACATGTTCATTCAATGATTCAGAACACAACACAAGTACACAATAAAGAAACAAATAACACTTATTATATGAATTGGAAGAGTGGGTTATGACCGGTATCAAATATTTATATAATATACGTATATATGTTTATGATCTACAAGTTAGGTTTCTTCTACTTATTAACAGCTTCTTCAAGCTCTCTTAAACCACCAACTTTCTGTTCAATTTCTTCGATAAGTTCTTCGCGCCATAGCTCTGCTCTTGCTTTCTCTTCTATATCTTCTTGCTGCATCATACAAGCAAAAAACACAAAGGTGATGTAACCAAAGGTGGCCCGACTCAGCCCAACTCGGCTCAACCTTGCTCCACATCATTAATTCTTTTAGGTCCATCCCGAAATTAATTAAAAGATCACCTTTTAAAAAAAAAAAAAAGTTCAATTGTTTGGTAAACTTTCTTTCAAACGTATAGGGACACCAAACGTAATCAGAAAAGTCTTCTTCCGCTTGCGTTTAACGATTACAATCGAGAAATTAACAACTCCGTAAAGAAGATTAGTTAAGTAGTTTCATTTTGGAAAAATATAATAATAGTAACTGCAAATGCAAATATATTAAACGTAAATGCTTAAGATTGTGAGTTATGGTTAAATGATTAATGTAGTGGATTCAATGAAAAAAAAAATATATATATATATATAAACGTTAAGTGTTAAACCCAAAGGCCAAAGGCTAAAGCCATCCATTCTGCTTTGTTTATCCATGGCTGAGAAGGACATGGATGGGTCAAACCGGACCTGAACCGGTCCACATGCTCTATCATTTAATACCAAGGTAGACTAGTCCATGGCAACATCCCTAATCATAATTTGTATGTATCTATAAGTATTAGCAAGAGAGATACGTACAGTTTCATAGACCCAATATCCAGTTCCATCACCTCCATCTCCACGGTACTCCTCCGAGTCATAGAATGGATCCTATATATACACCATTATTGATCAAATGTATATAAAAAATTGAATATGAGAAATTGAGAACCCAATGCAGCAAATGCATCAGAGATTTGATTTTTTTTTTTTTTTTTCCATACCTTTGCGGAACCAAAGTACAAACATCCCCAACAAGTGAACATGATGTAGAACATATCTGCCAGATCAAGACCAATATATCAGAACATCCAAAAAACAAAACCAAAACCAAAAACCTTTTTTTCCTTTTCATGTATTTATAATAAACCCAAAATTTGGTACTTACAGACATTCTTGATGGCTTTATCACTTAGATGCCATACGTGTTTTTCTGTAATGATGTCACGCATCCCTTCAATTTGTTGAACCATCACAGCCATCAATGGCAAATCATGTGGCAATGCCTTTCTTACGCATAAGCTTCCTCTCATTAGATTCTTTTCCCTCTTCTCATTAACTTTCATCTAGTTTTCAAAAATTCAATAAACGTAAATTCATAACAATTACATGGAGATGGTTAATTAAAGGCTTAAAGCCTTAGTTAGAGAACATTACTTACAGATAGCCAATATCCATGATTTGGCCCTGAAATCTGCTTAGGCTACAACACACGACACATTTCTTAAGTATTCTAAACAAAAAATACTAGGATTTAATTTCTCAGTATAAGAAATAATATGTACCGGAAAATTAGAGGAAGAAGGGATATGAAGGTTTGTGAAAGTGGAACTTGTGAAAGCTTTAGCCATTGTTACTTCTTCTTGATGTTGGCAATGGAGGAGAGAGGAGACACAGTGTTGTAGCAATCTTTTTATTTTCTTTTATTATTAGTCATATATTTTAAACTTTAAGATTAGATTTTTGGAGGCAGAAGTTGTGTGTGGATAAGAGAATTGGTATCGTCCACTCTTGTAATACAACATTAGAGCGCAGGTTAGCAACAAAAAAGAAACACTTCTAGTCTTCCAAAACGCAAGTTAAAGATTTATTGCCTTAAGTTGCTAATAAATCCCACCTAATTCAACAATCCGCTTTTGTATTCTTCCTGTGTTTTAGAAACCTTTCATGTGCGCAGGCTAGCAATCACTAGACGCGCATCTTAGCAAAACTTTTGCGGAAGTTGCAATCGCCGGGTCAATTCAACGTTTCCAAGTTTCCTATTTTTCTTCCCGTGTGTTGTATTAACTGTACATAATGCGCAGTTTAGCAATCGTAGAACACTTTAGTCTTCGAAAAGCGCATGTTAGCGTCCTCTTTCCGAATTCGCTAAGAAACTTTCCAATGTCGTCTTCTTCCCGTGTCTGTCTTCAATCTTCTTCCTGTTTGGGGAGGGGAAAGGTGCCTATTTTAATTCCACCAATTTTCCCCTCAAACCATCTCTAATATCTAATTCTCTCTCTCAGAAGCCTAAATCCAATGAGTCGCATGATGGGATTGTTCGATCTCGAGAAACACTTCGCCTTCTACGGTGCTTATCACAGCAATCCGATCAACATTATAATCCACATCATCTTCGTATGGCCGATCGTCTTCACAGCGTTGCTTCTCCTCCACTCGGCGACACCAATCTGCGATCCTTCCCTACTAGGGTTTCCTCAATCGCTGACTCTCGACGGTGTTCTGCGATTAAACGTCGGGTTTATCGTCACGGTGGTTTATGCTCTGTTCTACATCTGTTTGGATAAAAAATCTGGATTTGTTGCTGCCCTCATGTGTTTCTCTTGCTGGGTTGGTTCCAGCTTTCTCGCTGCTCGATTAGGACCTTCTCTTGCCTTCAAGGTCAGCTTTTTATCCAATCTAAATCTATGGTTTTTGAAACAAAAAATCATCCTTTTTGGAGGAAAATATCTGTGCAGGAGCATATTTATGAGAGTATGTACATCCATGTGTGCATATATATATGTAGGCATCGTGCTGCGTGCATTTATTGTTCATTGTGTCTTCCATGCTTTTGACTTGAAAGCCCCTACGCTATTAGTTATAAGCCCCTACGCTATTAGGTATAGTAGTTTATGTTCAGGGAAGTAGAAATCGATTTAATTTGATTTGATATTACCTTCAAGCTTCAACGGTTTTATTATTCGCCTCTCTCTCTCTCTATCTCTCTCTAGGTCCATTTAGCAAGTAATAACTTCCTGTCTCTGGCTTTGAGCATTCATGACTAGTCATTGCATTTTGTTCTGCTGCTTGTCCACCTTTCAAGTTTGCAAGATTCGGATTCTTCGGTCTGAAGACTTCTAATCCTTTTTACTGTTGCTGACTCATTAGTGAAGAGGATTTGATGTGCGTTTGGTTTAAATCGTTGTTTTTGACCACCAACATTAATGATGGTCTCAGATATTTACTCGTTCAAATAAAGTTCAGGTTTTTTCTTACAAAACACTTGAAGATGCATCATGTTAGCTTAGGACTTAGGAGCTTTATATCAGTCTTCAGTGTACTAAATCATCTGATTAGTTTGCTATGTATTCCAGAGAGAGAAAGAGAAAAACAGTACATACTCGCGGAATTCATATTTGAAATCCCTATGTTATGTAGATACTGTAACAGTTTTACACTGGTCTTTTCTCAGGTTGGGTTAGCATCTCAGCTGTTATGTTGGACCGGGCAGTTCCTTGGCCATGGCTTGTTCGAGGTAAGTCCTTTGACTCTTAGAAATCATTGTTTTGATGCACCTTTGTGCATCGTCGTCGGTGTTCATGAGGCCTAAAACAGATCTTCTTGATTCTTGTCTACTCACAGAAACGAGCTCCTGCACTATTAGACAATCTAGTCCAAGCTTTTCTCATGGCTCCTTTCTTCGTGCTACTCGAGGTGAAAGTTGTTTGCGTTGTGTTCTATTCTGTTCTGATCTGTTTGTTATCCTCCTGTTAATGTGGAAGTGTATAAATGAATACAGGTTCTTCAATCGGTCTTTGGGTATGAACCATATCCCGGTTTTCAAGCGCGTGTGAATGCCAAGGTGGAAAGTGACATAAAGGAATATAGAGAAAAGAAGCAGATCAAGAAGAACAAGATCACATAAGCTTAGATCATATAACTGATCAAGAACTTAAAACCATATATTGTTATGTTTCTCTATTTAAAATCCGAGATAAGAAATAAGACAACCATGGATTTGATGGTTTTGTGTATAACTAAATTTCAATATATTGAAAGTTGCAAACAAAAGATGAACATTATCTATCTTAAAGGCCAACTATGAACTTTGGAATGGGATTGGTCGATCTTTTGTAACGGTTAGTTTGTCTTGGTATCAAAGGTTCCACTACAATTCTTTTGGACTTGTATGAAAAGAAGAAAGAAGGAATGTGTTCGTCTCTGTCATCGAAACTTCTCCTGTTCTCCACATTGATGGAAGTGATAAGGAGGATGAAGAACATTTTGGCAGCGAGGTCATATAATCATAAATGTATTTTTGTAGAACTCACCCTTGACACCCTATCCCTTCCTCCATCCACAGCTCATATAGTCATAGTGTATTTTTTGTTACTTTATTTTTTAGAAGAATCTATTTCAGTTTTCTTCCTATACTGCACATACTCTTCTAGTAAACAAAAAATTGCAATTTTCAGTAGTGCTCGTACTCTAGTCAATTTTTTTTTTTTTTGTTTCCCAACAACATACTCGATCGAGTCAATGTATCAATCATAAATTAACAAATTTTCTAAAAAAATCTTTTCAATAATGTATTAAAAATCAAGCGAGCGCATAACTATCACGTGACTAAATCTGTAAGGGAACGGAATTGATAATAACGAGGCATGTTATCCACGTGGTCGTAGCGACGTGTGGTCCTAATAAAGTCGTTTTAGCATCCCACCACTCTGCTAGACTGCTTCGATGTTATGATATAGATATTTCAACACATATATGACGTCACAAGACTTATATCGGATTGTTGATATTTCTTGATTTATATATCGTCTTTTTTTTTTTCTTGCATCATATATTAGCATTTATAGTATCATAAAAAAAAAAAAGAGAATTATTATGTCTATAAAAAGAATTATGTGATTCCATCATGTCGATCGTAATGAAATGTTTTTGTGTGCGTGTGTTGTGTGTGTTAAATATTAAGAAAAGTTACGAGACTTCTATATGGAAATTCAAGGGCTATAGAATCATCAGAGACTTATGAAGTTATGATTACGCAACTTATAAAGCACGATTTCTTTCGTCTTTTGTTTTTTTTTTTTGAGAAAGATTCTTTCGTCTTTTGTTTGTTTCACAAACATAACCATCCCTTGCAAAAATTATACAGACTCATGTAATAACTCTAAATAATATATATTACAAAAGAATAATATCAAAATATATTTTTTTTTTTTTAAATATCAACTTCGTAAATCGAATACATAAGAGATAATTACATGATAACATCCAAAGCAGCGTCGACCAGGAAAAAGAAAAAAGGAAAAAAGAACCAATCTATCACAACAGTGGGTTGTCTTTATATCACAGCAGTGGGTTGTCTTTGTTTTGTTTGCTTTTCTTTCTAAAATATTTTTGTTTTAAAAATATAAAGTATGAGAAAGAATTGTCAACCTATATATATATATATATATATATTCTTTGTTTTGTTTGCTTTTCTTTCTAAAATATTTTTGTATTAAAAATATAAAGCATGAGAAAGAATTGTCAACCTAAATATATATATTTATATGTATATATTAGTATATACTTTATTTTAAAAATAAAATTTGTTTTACTGTTTGTTCCTTCTTTTACAAAACTGATACAGAGAAATGCATGATAAAACCCCCTAATGAAAAATAAAATAAAATTATCTTGACGATCAAATCCAAATCATTCATTAATGCACTATTATTAGAAACATCATCACTGTTTCTTTGAGATTTGATATGGGCATGCATGCTCTTCAGTCTTCACAGTAAAATCTAAACAACTATTGCATGAACACCGCGAGCTTAAAAATATTCTGAATTTTCATTTAAACCTCTATTTACAAAATCCTTCAATTAAAAACCATATGGTACGACCAAAAATATCATATGGTAAAAGACTTTCCCTAAAGGAAATCATTTTCTTGGTCAAAATAGTCCACATCAATATTATTGGTCGCAACAATAATATTTAAAATGTTCATCTGTTAACATATGCTTACAAGTAAATGCACAGCCACACTCATACACACTAGCACTAGACCGAGTCAGAAAAGACTATCAAGTACGTGCATACTCTCATACAAGACAGAGTCGTACGACGTCGTCTCACATTCCATTTCGTCAATCTCCATATAACGCATAACGTCCTCATCGATCCACATCGGAAAATCATCTTCTTCACCACCACCAATCTTCTGATCCCTCTTATACCCTTCTTCTTCTTCGTCTTGATCACTGCTTGTGATTCTCGGGTTCGACAAGATGTTCTTGATCCTGTCGAGATCGTGTTGTCTAGATGAGATACCCGCCGCGAGCTTGTTCAGGAACCGAGCCGAGCCCGAGGATAAGGAGGAGGAAGGGCTCGCCAGCGACGGCGACGTCGTCGTGGAAGAGCTACCACATTCTTCGCTAGTGGTCTTGACGGTGAGGTTATTGATGATGGGCTCGTGGGTCATCGGGTCGATTCCGTTTCTCGACAGTCTTTTCTTGAGACAAGAGTTCCAATGGTTCTTGATGTCGTTGTCTGTTCGGTTCTCCATCTGCTTCGCTATGGCTGCCCACCTTCAATTTTCAACAATAACAACAACAAAATTTAGACACCCAATTGACTAATCTTGAAGTCTATAGAAGAGTCGGAGATTCGTACCATTCAAAACAGTGCCAACCATAATTGAAATCCTAATAATATTTCTTTTTAGTAAAACCAAATTAATTATAAAGCGTAATGTATATTAAACGTCATAATTATTAATTGGTAACAACAAAAAACTACATTTTTCGTGTAGTTTTAGTCATTGTATCTAGGCCCTAATTGTATCAATGCATATTTAATATTTGAGCTAGCAAGGATTTATATAATAAAGCAAAAAATTTATTCGATGAGGACCAAGAAAAGTAAGGTTATATAAAGTTAGATAATAAGTGATAGATCATGTACTAATCATGCATGTAATGTTTATTATTTCTGAAATACTTCATTTCTTAAGAATAGATGTTTGAAATTTTATTTGTGTAATCTATATGTTTTGTAAAACAAAAACACAGATTATTGTCTTGTATGCAACATTCAGAAACATAGTGTAATCTATTATCTATGCAACATTCAAAAGAAAAAAAAATGTTTCACAAAGATTATTGTTGTATATATAACATTCCTTTTATTAATTAGAGTTAAAATGGATGAAACAACTAATAATTAAATTCATACTCCCTCGTTTCATATATAGTGTAGAATTTTTTGGAGTTTTCTTTTTTTCATAATATAATTTGTTTTCACATTGCTATGCAACTTTTACTTTCATTGATTATTGTGTGACCAATTATAATCTGCAATTTTTTTTATGATTGGCTGAATTTTATTACTTTATGTCTTAAATACTTTTTGAAGAAAAGTAATTCTCTTAATTTTTGTGTGCTTTAGCCAGAACATCTTATATTATGAAATAGAGGGAATAACAATTTTAGGTGTTGTACTTTTCTTTTCATATGTTTGAAAAACATACAGCTTTATTAAGTGGTATTTATAAAGCTTTCTTTTGTGTAATCCATAAATTGGTCATGCACATGTAAATTAGAGCTGTTCTTAACAGCTTTATATTATTATGTAATCAAAGCTTTCTTTTGGGATCCAAAGTCTATAGATTATATAGTTATTAAGTAAGAAATTAACCTGTTTCCTAGAACAGCATGAAGTTTGATAACATCTTCTTCTTCTTGAGCAGTGAATTTGCCTCTTTTAATCCCAGGCCTTAGATAATTAAGCCACCTTAATCTGCAGCTCTTTCCACATCTCTGCAAACCTGTTTTTCATAGTAAAATATTGAAATGTCAATTTTTAGTAGTTATAAAGGTTTCATTGTGCATTTGTAGTGGCAAACAAAAGAACTTGCGAGAACTATACTTTTTATTCGATAATGGAGAATTTGAAAACAAAAGATGTTGCAAAGATTTTAACTTTTCGAGATTGCGGCTGTAAATAAGTATTCCTTCTAATCAAAAAGATACTAATAAAGTTTGAAGACTGAGAACAGATTCACTTTGTCCCAATATATATGGAGAAAGTCAATGGAACACCTGTCGCTCTTGGGTTCCGTTAATCGAGATTGCAATCATTTTCTATAATATTATATGGATAGAAGAACTGGTAGATTCTCGAACCAGATAATCATCAGTTATATAAAAAAGATTAGTAACCAATCATGTACTACCGCTACGATATAAAATACGGCATGGTTACGTACTTTCGATTTCTATTATTGGTTTGGTTACAAAAATGATTTCGATAGGATTTCTTGTTATAAATAGATCCGAACCCCCCAAATGAAGATGGATTATGCTATTTATTTCGGTGTGGAGAAGAGAATCTCTTTAATATATATACCAACATTTTATCCAAAAACGGCGGTATCAAAGTCTCCTAATAATACAAATGAGAACTTTCAAAACAATTAGGGTAAACAGTATCTGCAATTGTAATTCTTAAATCAATTAAAATAATTCAAAGACATCCAAGCAAGAACAAATTAAAGTTATGCATTCTAACTAATATAGATTCTGAAAATCCAAGTATATATTTTGCTACCTATATACACAATGACTTGTTTTCTTAGGTCGAAACTGAACTAGAATTTTATCTCGATTTCTATAACCCGACGCAGCTTCTCATAAACACAAAAGTATAAATCCACTTCTATGAAATCTATATATATATATATATATATATATATGTGTGTGGTGTGGATATGGTGTAAGACTGTAAGTAAAGTAAAAAAAGAAGGAGGTATGGTGTAAATATATATAAACCAGCTCTTTGGGGGAGAGAACGCCAATCGCAGGTGCCATGCTCGTTGATGTAAGCGACGAGCTTCTGGTCTTCCTCCGCCGTCCACTCTCCTTTCCTCATCCCTCCGTCGTCGAACCATGTCTTCTTCCCCATTTTTCACCTACGAACCAATCCTATATTGCCACGTTCACCACCTCACGATAAGAGCTTATTATCAAAATAATTCAAGGTGTCTTTTTATTCTCTTTCTCTCTCTCTCTCTCTCTTTAGTTGTAGTAGAATGGTGTCGAGAGAGTGAGCAGTAGGATGTGGTATTATTATAATAAGGGGGGTACAATTATATATAGCCCCTCCATTTTTGGTTTTACTAGATTTTCACCGTTGGATTTTATTTCGAATTCCTCGCCGTTAGGCTTATGCGATACCAAAATATCAAACCTTGCCAAAATTTATGTGTAACAAACTAATATAATATAATTTGGGGGTATAAATAAAACAGCAACAAACACCTTTAAAAGTTAAACAAGGAAATCGACAAGTTTTTGTAATTCATTGCAAACATATATGTTTTTTTTATAAAATCGTTTTAGATATCAAAAGATTAAATTCATTGGTAACTATAATTATTTTTGTACGTAAGACCATGCTTAACTGGGTTTTTAAGCAGGTCTCTTAAGCCTTTTTAACATGAAATTAAATATAAAAAATGAGTTAATCGAAGAAACGTATCTTAATTAAGATACATAAGAGACCTCTCTAAGCAGCACGTGTTTCATTATTACAGGTTCTTTGTTTTCTCCCCAAATTTTGTTTCTCACTCGGAAATTTTTTTTTCCCAATTTCATTTCACATCTTTGTCTCTTCAACACAACTCACCATTGTACCTTCAAAAATTAAAAGTCCCTTAAATAGATATTTTATTACAGTTTAATATTTTAAAAATGGTTAAAAAACCATGTTAGGTCTCTACCATTGCACATGCTCTAAGCATGGGAGTTTGATTAGAAAAAAATACAAGTAATGACAATCTTGATAAATTCGTTATTTATCAAGTTTAAACAAACACAAAACCTGTTAAAAAAGAGAATAAAATTCCTTTTAATTGACGATAAATCAATTAAGGCACACACTCACATCTATAAATAATTTTTGTTGCCTCATTAATTAGTCTTTAATATGATTAGTTAAAAAAAATGTTTGGACACACCTACAAATTGTTTGTCCCTTTGGGGAACTAACATAAAATAGGGACACGTACATTAATTTTATAATTTTGAATTCCTCAGGGACATGCAAAAAAACAAAAGTTGCTAGATCTAATGTAAATTATCTTGTTATACACACACACACTCAGGTATGCTAGATCTAAATTACTTAACTAATAGTCATGATACCAATAAATTATTATGAAAAAGAAGCAGTAGAGCATGTGCTAGATAATCTTTGTCTGGTGGGGGACATGACATCGCAGATGAATGATATGTTCACATCTTTCTTTTTGCAACCATTTATGGTAGTTTTGTACGATATTATAGTCTACAATAATTAACAATGGATATAAAAAAACAAAAAAGGATGCTCCGTTGAGTGCGAAAAACCATTCTTGGTCGTATTCTTCTTTGTGAACATCTTTTTGCCTGCCCTCGTCCTTTTCATCTCTCCCCCCATTCACACTTTTTTCTTGTCTTTTCAGTATGTTTTTAGATAAAATAATTTTAAAGAGATTTAGTTAGAAGACGTATAAACATAATATGAAACGATCATAATAAATTTACGGTTTCATTTTTTCTAGAGTTGTTTTTCCTTACAAGAATTATCTCTTTTTCTTCATAATTAACAAAATATCACTTGTTCTTTTGTTTTTTTCTCTTTTCCAACAAAAATCACATCAGTAAAATGGATCTTAAAATGTCAAGATTTTTTTTATAATTCACTGTAATGAAAAAATTGTTTTATGTCTTCACAATAAAAAATAATTCTAAAAACAAAACAAATGGATCATAATAATTACAGTACTCAGATTTTTTTATTTATTTCTATTTTATTGTCTTTGTGTACACACTAGGTTTAAGAAAAATGAATAGTGAAATAAAGTTAAAAAAAATTACACTCTTACAAAATGTCTTAATAGTACAAAGTGCCATATTATATCATTCTAAACTCAAAAGTGCCTTTAATGTAAATTATTCTTTATTTATAGTAAAATAAAAATGACTTTCTGAAGTTGAATTATACATCTCTATATGGTAGACATCATGGCATGTTTGCTCCAAATAGGACAATCCTGAGAAATCTCAAGAAAGAATCACAACAACATCAATCTTTTTTTTTTTTGTAATTTTGTTTATTTTCTTCTCAATTTCAACCACATCAGACTTTGGGACTTCTCCAAAGTCTTCATGTGACTTCTGTTTTTTTTTTTTTGTTTATTGAATATTAGTAAATATTAGTCTGTTAGACATTATTGAGCGATTTATTAATAATAATAAAAGTTGTTGAGAGAATATGGAAGTTAATAAGAATGAATCAGTTAGAAAACTATACTTTAATTCATATATACAGACTTGTTGTCAATGCAAACATACTGTACATTAAAAAAACATGGAGATTAAAATTCCAAGTCAGTGATACGGTTCAATTAATGGTATCAAACGGAAAACAAATAAAACAAGTACAGTAGAAAATAATAACGGTTGACAAAAATCTCCGTAAGATTTTGAGTACTCAAGTGTACAACAATCAACAAACTCTAGTAAATGCTAAACGTACGCGTTTGCCGATTTCATGACTCGAAATATTTTGTTTTAAGAAACTATGATTTTTTTACACCTCAACAAGCTGAGCTTGGAAAACCGCTATTTTTTCTCATCAGTGGAAAAACTTTAACCGGTTGCTTAAACCAGGAAAAAAACAAATTCAGCTTTAATTTTATTTTTTAATTATAATTTAATAGAATGCACTCAATATTCCATAATTCGCACCCTAAAAATTGTTTCGAGCATGTCTTTTAGTGTCATGGGTGTAGTCATGTATATAATCTCAACGAACTCAAGCAACACATGTCAATTTTAAGTGGCCTATCATTATCCTTACGCGTTCATCAAATAATTACTTCTCTCCCTGCATATATATTAATATATATATTATCCACACGATAAAAATAATTTATAAAAAATCCGTGCATATATTATTCACATGTTAAAAATGATTATTTGATTACAAAAATGAAGACATGACAGCTGTTCAATCAGCAGCGAGTGAACATAAGTGTGAAACTTCATCTCACACATTCCAAAATGAAACAAATCATATTTTTTAAGCACGTGATTTTTATTGAACGAGTCATTTAAGCACGTGTCAAAAATGAGCCATAGACTGTAACTAACGCGGGTTCAACTATCAAGTGTGAAACCAAACAAATTATTAAACGGTGCGAGTAGATTTGGCGATATATATCAACTGGATTAGACAGTACAAACGAATATCGATGTTTTTAAACATGTGAAGGATAAGGAATTTTTATAAAATTAACTTATAAAGACACTGTTATAGTTTTACCATAAAAAAAGAACACTGTACAGGCTTATAGCTAATTAATGAAATGATTAATATTAAATACGAATAGAATAAAACTGAAATAAATATACAAAAATATAAACCTATATCTATATAGTATAATTAATGGATACGTAGGTCGATAATGAATAAAAACGGTATATATATTTTTGTATATCACTGGTGGAGCTACATATTTGTTACTATATATATCATCAAACATTCAAACTAAATATATAAGACATTAATACGCGGCACTTATTTAATAGTATTGCAAACAGTAGATTTGTTTCTCCTAAAACAATTTCCAATCTTACTCTAAATTTCATTTTTTATTCCAAATATAAAAAATAGAATTTTCATTTTTAGTATTAATTCTATTTTGGAGAAATAAATAAATAAAATTGAAATAAAACACAATTTCATTTTAGAGTCAATTTAAAATAGAGTAAACTATATATAGAGTTATACATTAAAAATGTCCTTAGAGTCTTATATTCTTTACGCTTGTACTTTCGAAAATATAATCTGTCTCATTTTTGGATAATTGATAGTTTAATTTGATACGAATCTATTCTATTAAAACAGAAGCACATTTAGTACCTGTTACCAAACACTTCCAAAATTTTTTTAAAATATTTTGTTTTATATTATATTAGATTTTGAAAATTGGTTATTAATTTAGATATTGTTAGATTTTTTTAAATATAAATTATATTTAATTTAAATTTAAGTTATTCGAAATTTTTTAAAAAATTAATTTTAATTACGAAAATTTAATTAAATTGAAAAAAATTATAAATAAATTTATTACGAAAATTTAGATAATAATTTTAGTTACTTGAGAATTCTTTGAATATTGGTTAGATTTTCAATTTAAATAAAATTTTTATAATAACATAAATAGTAAATGAATATCTTATTGTATTTTATCATAATCAATCGGTTTAAAATATAAAATATTCAATATTGATAAATATTTATATTATACAATAATCTGATGGAACAAATTAGAGTATGTATTTATAATTACAGTTTTATTTGGATTAGTTTGTCAAAACATGTAAAATATTAAAAATAATTTGAGATAGTTAAACGGACCGATTAGCCAATTTATAGATATGTAGAGTGTTTATGTGTAAATCTAAATTTACATAAAAGTTTATAATTAACATTAGATTAATATATATATTTAATTAACCCATATTCTTATTCCACTAATATAAAAATTTATACTATTCAAAGTTAAAACATAATAACAAAATTCTTGTTTTGAAAAGAAATAAATAATAAAATGAAATTTTATTATAAAAATTTATATTAAAAAAAATGAAAAATTCTCGTGCGAATGCACTAGGTTAGAATATATTTTAACACTTATTTTCGAATCTTCGCTGCCGATGATAAATAAAAGTAATAAAGCTATAATGGTCTCAGTTATCTTCTTCTATAAACAAACGGAAATAAACCATTTTTTTACGTGGACGGAAATAAACTACGTGTATAAAATCTACTACTATAATATAATTTTTTTTCAAGGGTCATCGTTTGTAATTTTTTTGCCAATGTCCAGTAACGATGAAAGACAGAGAAATGAGTGTGCGTTGTCAACTGTCAAATTCCTCATCTCAAGAAAACCTATATAAATTGTCTCACATTATAAATTGAAATATTTATTAATTAGTTGTATATAAATTTTATTGATTTCTCTATTATACTT